ACCTATTCAACAAAAAAAAAAAAACGCCTCTGCAGAGTGAAGACAAGTTTTTGCTGAAAGGTCAGCTGTTAACCATTAATGACAACGCTGCATGAAGGACACTGTCCGGTGTTTATGGTGTCTACAGCGGGTATTTCATTCTTAGGGCATAGGAAACCAATGGCTAATGCGGGTAATATTCATTTTCTTTGCCATATTCTAGGACATTGCCAAAGGTCAACAATGAACAATTTGTTCGCTCTGTCACTTCCTCATTGGATATAGTTCACCCCACTCCCACTCCCTCTTTGGTTAAAGTCTTATTCTTCATCAGAGAGACTGAACTGTGTTTAACTTCTGGTGTCAGTTTGGATTCTTCAACTTTGTTTTCGTCAGTGCATGAAGTCAGCTCCAAGTGGGCCTGTGAGTTTTTATGTTAAATATATATATATATATAAATATATATAGTTGTAACTATTAAAATATTTTAAAAATAATTTTTGAGTGGTATGTTTTGCTGCTGTTGCTGAAGTTTCTCATCCTGATGACAACTCAAAGGTCCCTGCACCTCAGGTTTACACTCATATTTTAACACATCTATCTGCAGCCTTGCCATCACTCAATATTGTTTGTTCCCATTCATAAGCCACAGCCAGCAGGAGACTCTTGAGGTTAAGTGTCCTCTCACAGTGACATGTCATTTACACAAACTACAGGAAAATGTTTTCATTTCACTGAAGCATGTCAAACTTGAAATATCACCTCAGCATGTGTTTGTGGAGGAATCTACTTCTGGTCAGGTGAGGGACAGTAAATCACTCTACAACTGACCAGTTGACTGACCCGATTTTAAACCGGTTTTGCCACAGGGCAAAAAGAAAATTACAAAAAGTACAAGAAAAAATGAGTCCATTGGTATCCTGTAATTAATCAGACCTAAATAGAACAATTGTATTTGACCCTGTGGCCTCAGTTTAAAGTGTAAAGTCATGAGCACTCCCTGGTCTGTCTTCCTGCCAGTGTAAAGTCATGAGCACTCCCTGGTCAGGTGACCACACGCGTCAGTTAGAGTGGGCAAAGACACGATGGTGGATCCAGGACTCTGGCTAAAAAGAAACCAGAGTGGGCTGAAGGTATGTGGAACAGATATTTATATCAGCATGTGGCAGAGGTGGCCTTCATCCTCGGACACTCTCTCAGTACGAGCCAGGCCTCGTGGGAATAATCAGTCCAGTAGTAGCAGTAATTGACTTTTGGTGTTTCTAAAGTGTAGTAACTTGACAAAAGAAAAAGTAATTCAAAACTACACAACAGCGGACCACAATCAAGCCCCGTCTTTTAAGTAAATGTACAGTATGTCTGCTTTTCTTCAAGGCAATCCGCAGTTCTTTGCTCAGTAACTGTGACATTAAATGGCGTCAAAGATATAAAATATAAAAATGTACTGTATTTCTTCATTACTTCATTAAGATTAGCCAGAGACAATTGAATTAGTAGAGAATGAAGAATATTAGATCCAACAGGTGTTAATAAAAACCTTTATTTTTTCTTTTTTTCTTATCTTTTCCATTATTTACTCATCAAGCTTTTTATCCCCATCATGACCCACACAGCCCATTCCCATTTGTTTCTCTTCACAAATCCATTTTCAAGAACAAACATTACTCTCCTCTATGATCAAAATAACCTCACGTCTCTAATCAACCTGCCACGAAGAGGAAACCTCACAGAAACTGATCGAACACATGATGCATGAAAATCGAACGACACAAAAATGGAGTGTTGACGAACCCAGAGTTTAAGAGCAAGCTTGAAACGTTCAAGTGAAATATCTGAAGAAAAAAAAAATAGTACTGGCTAAAAGACCACAGAGATAAATTACATGTATACAAGACAACTGCAGTTTTTTGTGTTGGTTATCAAAAAAATATTCACAGTGACCAGTGTGACTGAACACCTACAGCAAAGCTGGACACTACGACACTCTGCTCGACTATGGTCATCGTTGTGACGATCGTGATAACGTGATCAAGCCATTACATTCAAGCTATACATATATTTTTACATATACCTATGTACACAAAGTATAAATAAAACCACGCAATGACAACCCAGAGATTATACTTTTATACATATTCATCACTAAAGAAAGTCTGGGGGGGAAAAAAAGGGTGGTTCGGGGGCCGAGGATACACAATCAACCCGGGGAGGTCTATGGCTACAATTGAGGAAATCCAATCAAGCAAGTGCTCATTTTGGAGTTTTTTTTTAATATATATTTAAAGCGCTCTCCTGTGGGAATGGAACAAAAAAAAAACACTCAAATCAAACAGTGTTGATGTGATGTAATGTGTTCATTCTTACTTGGACTTCAAGCTTGCTCTTAACGATTTATTGCGGGTTGTCGGTAACAACACCCTTTGCTCAGAACTTTATAATGATCTTGATTTTGACGTAACTAAATAAACACAAAGATGATTTCTTCAAAAAAGAAATAGTCAAGACATTTATGAAACTTATTATTTTGATCATAGAGGTTTATAATACAGCCAATCACTCTGGAGAAAAAAGAGAAACTAAAGTTTTAAAACATGGGCAGAATCCATGAAACCTGGTTAATAATTTTGGAATTTTTATTAGTGATTAAGTTCATAGCCTCGGGGGTTTCGGAGCAACTTTAACACTGCTGTGTACAAAGTCAGAAAGTTCATAACATTAATGTATGTTAACGTTAACTCTTTCTGCTTTGGTTTACACTAGTGGCTCCCATATTGGGGGAGGCACAGAGCTATGGGAGGCCAAAGGACTTTAATTTAAATACTATTTCCAATGACAATAGCAGTCTTGTTGGAACTGATGTTTTAGATAAATTCTTGTACCTTCCGAAACAAAACCCATGACCTGACAAACCCTGATCCACAGCCAGGTCCATAGAGACAGTCCCCTAGTGGACCAAATGTGTACAAGCAGCAGGACGATGTCTGAAAACACCTGTTGTAATGTTTGCCGTAACTCGTTCTTCCTTTTGCTATGAACCTCATAATCTCCATCTGATTTTGTACAGTATGTTTAATTCTTTTTTTTTTTTTTTTGTCTGATTTTGTACAGTTTGTTTAATTCTTTTTTTTTGCGAGGACCCTTTGTTCTACGACTGGAGTGTTTGGACATGGGAGTGAAAGGTGAGGATTGATCCAACAGGATGGGAACGTTGCATAGGAGACAAACGAAGCTGAAAGTCTTGATTCGCAGAGAAAGGACTTTGCAAGAAATCATTTAACAAAAGGTAGCATCAGGTTTTTTTGTTTGTTTCTTTTTTTTTTTTTACTTCGGATCTCCTAAGAAATCCAAACAAAGTGTAAATCACTCCCACAATTCCCTTTGACTGCCAGTGTCTATTAATAGTTCACACCTAGTGCTGTCTATTAATAGTTCACACCTAGTGCTTAATGACATACGCGGGCAAAGCAAAGCAGAGAATCTTTGCGATGCTAGCTAACTTAGAATAGTACATACTTTGAGGCTACTACATGTGTGTCCTTGAATTCACATGTTTCAAACATGTTGGGGGGGGGGGACTTAGTGGTCGACTACACTTACACACTAATGTAGTGGTGGTTTGGAACGGCCCTTCTTGTGTGAAATAAAATTAAAAGTGGACTCTCTCTTTGAAAACCCACTGAAACCCTGGGCTTGACAATGACGGGGGTCAACATGTGTCTGCCTTTTGTTATCTCCACCTCCACCCACCCATCACACAAACCCCCAGCTCCTTTCAGACAGTGGCTCAACCCGACTTAGCTCCCACCAGGTTGATCAGTCCATCTGTGCTCATGGACTTGGGGCGCTCCAAGGGGAAGCCCAGAGCTCGGCTCCACACCAGCTGAGCGAGCACGCCCAGGGCCCGGGAAACACCGAAAAGCACGGTGTAGTAATTCATCTCAGTCATTCCATAATACTGGAGGGAGGGAGGAAAGATGGTCAGGAACATCATTTCTGGCACTTCAAAAAAATGTTTCAAATCAAACAAAAAAGTCTGATGCGGCAAGAAAAATATTTCAATACTATATTGATCTTGTTTCTAATTTCAAAGTATGCAAAGAGATTAAAAATCAACACTTTCTATGACAGAGATACAATCTACACATTGGGGATCCCAATTATAAAAATTTGCATCAATTTTCAAACACTCTGAAATACTAAAAATTAATAGCAGTAAAAGGAAAAACAAAAGCACTGCTTAGCCTTTCAAGTCATGACTTCTGTCTCACCTGCAGTAGGACTCCACTGTGAGCGTCCACATTGGGCCAGGGGTTCTTGGCCTTACCCTGCTCCAGGAGCACATTGGGCACAATCTTGTAAAGCTGAGCCACCAACTTGAACATGGGGTCGTTGGGCAGATGTTTCAGGGCAAATTCACGCTGGCAGGTGTAGCGTGGGTCGGTCTTTCTGAGGACGGCGTGACCGTAACCTGGCACCACCTGCAGCCAGGAGAAACCAAAGCTTTAACTCTTGAATCATCACTTCATCTCCATCAACTGTGGGGGAAAAAAACTTCTGGCTTTTTATTGTAAAGATAGAAAAAGATAAACTGTAATAAAAATAAATTAAAGTAAACTAGCAGATCTAAATCAGTGACAAATTAAATTGGAGAATATTCAATATTGACAGACAGCCTTAATATTGTAAGTACTGGCATGCAGATGCTGCGTGTGCGTGTGTATTTACCCTTCCAGATTTGAGTGTGTTCCAGATGTAATCCCTCATCATCTCATCAGACACCTCTCCTCCCATCTCCTTCTGCAGTGCAGTCAGCCACACCAGCACTTCCTGTAATGTGTAGCAGCCAATGCACAAAAGTCAAAAAAAGTTACACCACTGCATTGCAATGATGCATTACATCATCTGACAATGTAATAAGCCTCATTATGTGGTGTTTCCTGTTGTCAAACAAACAACTGAACATCATTATTTTAATCCAGACAGACAGAAAAACACCTCAATAGCCTCAATTTAACACAGCAGCTAATAATAAACTATGAGGTTCAACAGACCTGACAGTGCACCATGTCAATTAGACACTGAGGGTTTTAAACCATGTAACACTAGAGCACTATTGTCCAATGTTCAAATTTCAAAACCACTCCCCTTCATCTTTGCCTCATTTGTGGTTGAAAATTGCTAATTCACTTAGCCTTAGCATTAGGTTCCTCTTCCTCTACGAGTTCACGTTGACAAGGTTCACTTCTTCTTTAACTGAATTGACTACAGGTGTGGTTTTTATAAAGACAATGAATGCAGGGGCGATGTGTGTGTCATATAAATTCACATATTTCTTGCATTAACAGACAAGTTTTTTTTCTTCAACAACGTCATTTCCTTACGAAACTAGTACTAAAACATGAAAACATCTGTTTGTACACACCTGGTTGGCGAGTCCATGCAGAGGACCAGCAAGTCCATTCATGGCAGCACTGAAGGACAGGTAGGGATCAGACAGGGCACTCCCCACCAGGTGGCTTGTGTGTGCACTGACGTTACCACCTTCATGATCGCTGTGTCATAAAGTAAAAGAGAAAAATGTATCAACAAATCTGCGCCTCTAAGAAAACAAGGCACTAGGCAAAAAAAAAAATCGTAGTTTTTAAAAGAAACGTTAAGAAAAGGCAGCAGTAGTTTTCCCTGCACCTGTGAATGGTGAGGTAGAGTCTCATCAGCTCAGTGAACTGGGCGTCACTGTAGCCCAGCATGTTAGTGAAGTTGTGGGACCAGTCCAGGTTGGAGTCAATGGCACCGATGCTGCTGCCCTCACGGTACAGGTTGCGATAGATTTTGGCGGCAATGCACGGCAGCTTAGCAATCAAGTCCATGGAGTCTTCGTAGATGAACTGATGACGAGGGCATGTGAAAGAATCGGGTCACAAACACTTCCACATCAACAATTTTCTTACAACAACTATAACCCCTAAAATTCGATAACAACACATCAGGGAGGATTAATGTTCAACAGATATGAACTCACCTCCCAGTACTTGGTCTTATGGACACCCTCAGAATAAGCCCGTGCAAAGTTGCTCTCACTGTTCAGAGCTGTGATAGCGGCACTGAACTGAGACATGGGGTGAAGGTTCGTGGGAAAGTTGTCCAACATGGTGACGACGTGAGAGGGAAGGGCGGCCCTTTTCGCCCATTCTTTGGAAACCCACTTCACCTGAAGGAGAAACACTGAGGCTTTAGGAAGGAACGGAAAAGTACAGACTTTTCTGTTGACACAGGAACGAGTTTTGTAAAACAAATAATGAAGGTTTTCATGGCAAAAGTTACAAGATAACATATTAATGGACACACACACACGGTATTTGAACAAGTGTGTAACAGGATCACATGAACAGCTGTCATTCCCACATTAACATGGCAGCCCTGTGGAAACATCACACTCACCTGCTCCTCATTGGGCACCTGCCCTGTGACCAACAGCCAGAACAGACCCTCAGGCAGCGGCTCCTCACCTCCCGGTGCTTTTGGCAGCAACTTTTGACATTCTGGGATGCTGTAGCCCCTGAAACGGATACCCTGTCCAGAAATAAAGGGTGTGACTTAATTCTCTGGTTTCAAAAAGTAAATTTGAACATTTTCCAAACAAATTACTATGATACAGAACAACAAAGCCGTTGCACTACAAAAACTGTGTCCAACCTCAGTGCTTTGACACACAGTTATTACTGAAGCAGAGTCACATCTTATCAAAATATCTTAATTTCTTTAAAGAATTTATTTATTTTGTATTTATTTTAGTTTTTATTTTTATCCATCAACAGGCAACCTACTGACCTCCTCAGGATCCAAAACAGAGGTCTCGTATACCAGACCCTTCATGCCTCTCATACCTCCATAGACCTGGGTGAGAAGAAATCATGACACAAGAACATAGATGTTAATTTATTAGTGCTTCTATTATAATAGCAAGACTAATTTGCAATTTAAATATTTAATAATAACTTTGTATGGCCACAGCAGCATGTTGATTCATTTCTTTTTAAAAAGTGCAACAGTCTGAACCTCAGGAATTTACCTAAATCCTGCCACTAACAGGTGGAGAAAAGAGAAAATGACGACTCAGTTGCAGCCCTAATGTATGAGTGCAGGTGTCCGGCACTGGTGCAGGTCTAAAACTAGCAGTGTGCAGTAGAGGTTGAAGTGAGTCAGCAGAATATCGCTGTTGGCAGGAGACAGGTTTTGATTGTGATATTTGAGGGGAGTTGACTAAACAAAGTGAAACAAGACGTGACGTCATTCCATAAACATCGCAGCTGATGGTCCACAGGACTTGTGGCATGGAGTCCAACTGGTTCCTATTTCTCCAACTGCAATGATTCATTTACATGTAATTGAATATAGTGCCTCTGTATTACTCACCATATCAACAGTAATCTGTCCTATGTTGGTTTTTCCATACTGTTGTTTAAAGCTCTTGATCCTGGTCTGTTCTTTGGGGATGAGATCTGCCAGAACATCCTTCAGATTCTGTAGAAACACACACACACACACAAGAAAAAAAAAGTGATTGCCTCAAATGATACTCTGGTCAACAAATAAATAATTTCATGTATAAAAGGTGTATTGTTAAAAAAATGAAGAGAAGAATATTTGACTGAACAAGAATACTTACTGTTGTTGTTGCTGCGCTGACATTTCTGGCTGCCAAAAGAAGATGGGTGGCATTCTGGAGGAAATTTAAAAAAAAAGATAGTGAACAATTAAGACATTTAATAAATTGATAAATGAATTACAGAGGAAGTTTATATAAAGCATAATTTTTTATCTTGTGAAGCAACAGCATCGGCCAGAAAGAATGAATGAAACATTCAGTCAATCAATTATAGATGACAGTGACAAGTAGGAAACGCAACAGGTAAAACCTGACACGATTAATAAAGAACCAGTTTGTTATTCAAACAATGGACTAAACTAAATAGTACTTTAGAAAAAATAAATACTACTAACACAAAGCATGCTACTTCTAAACATGCATAGCCTATTAATTACACATGTCCTTACACAATACACTAGATTAAGGTTATATAATAAAATAATATTGCTAAAATGAAGGAATAAAAATGGCATCAAAATGTATTTTCCAAAGAGAGTTAAAATAAAATTACTTGCATTTTTTGGACTATTAGAGTTTTGTGTTGACAGAACCGGGTAAATTTCATGTGTGGCAAATACAGAGGTGAAAATATTAAGTGAAAGTGACTTAAAAAAGAAGCTCTGTTCTGTTTTTCTCAGCTGCCATTTGGCCACACCAATAAGATAAAATAATCTCACATGTCAGCTGAGGAGTAAGTACAATGTTCCTTATTGTGGTGATATTAAAAACAAACCAACAGGTTTAAGAAAATTATTTGCTGTAAAAAAGAAGCTTTCTTAAAATGTTGCATATATGAGAAATACCAAACTATACTTTTTAAGGTGGTCAAGTAATACTAGTGTCATAACCTCTGCAAACCTGATGCTTCTCACCACTGTAACGTGAATCCACCAATGCTGAATTAGAATTGTCAATGGATGAGGGGGAGTCCAGGTCAAAGGTGACAGCTGGCTCTGACCACCTTCACATAACTACAACTGGAAGGACGGAGGACGACTGACTGACACAAGAGGCAGTACTGAAACAAAAGGTAAGCTCCCGTGTCACCATGCACACCACACAGCTGAGTGTAAGATTATGTAACAGTTCAGGCTGTTAAATAAGTTTCACTGTAGTCACACTTAACGCTGACTAGCCCAGGAGAAAGGGCAAAGCAACACAGCACATATGATTCATCCCAAAGATGGTCTTTAAAAAAACACACTGGTTTCCCTATAAACATATGTAAACAACAACACCCGTAGTACACAACCCTAGTATCTAATAGAAACATTGCCTGAAGGAAGTAAACATACTTATGTTCCAAGCACTGACTTAAACCATTGTTCAACTCCGTATGACTATGTTACATCTACATTTCATTTTTATAGCAGTACTGAGAGAGACATGTGATTTGAAGTCAGAGGAAAGTTTTTTATGACTGGTAGATGTTATGCAAGAAGAGAAAACTGGTTGGCATTATAACTTGAGCCAAGACGATGACTGATAAGACAAAGGAAGACAAAGTGGTACACGAGTAAACTGCACAGTTATCAGTCCTTGGAGACTGATAACTGTGACCTATTAGCACTTGTTTGTACAGAGTTCAATTAGTATGCCACTTGGTCAAAAATGAATGGTAGCTGTGACTGGATATCTGATATAGGGGGTCATAAATGTAAACAGTCTGGGCTGCAAGGTCAGTATAAAAATCACAAGATAGGAGTCAAAGAATATTTGTGTAACAGTGATGAGTAGGAAAATCACAAACTGTAACAATCCAAGGTGAACAAAAAAAAGTTTTTAAGTCATTGTCCACCAGTCATACCATGTCTCATTAAGCAGTTGAAAAAAGTACACCTACTAAAACAACACATATCAATATATCAATAGTAATAATAACCAAAACTATACATATCAATAGTAATAATAACCAAAACTATTGGAAAAAAATGTGCTTTAATTAATCCAGTCAGTGATGGGTTTAGATAAGGTAACACCTTTGTGTGAAGGTCAACTGAGGTGTAAGCAAGGCAGAAAGTTGGTAAAAAAAAAGAGCTATAAATCATTCACTGTGGTTGTTACCAGAAACAGTACATTTTCTAATGCTCAAATTTGATTAATGATCTTTATGGTGGCCAGTGTTGGTTAGGAAACCTGCCAAGGCTGTAACAGTACAAGGCCAGCATAAGGATCACAGGGACATGAGGTAAAGCAAGACAAATATGAGACACGAGCACAGAAGAAAACGGAAAAATATTATATAAACATATAAATTAATGGATAGACGACCTTTGAAAGGCATAACATCGTTAGTTTTATTCTTTCATTGTACTCTCGGCCGACAGCCTTTCACAATGTGGCTCAAAAAGCTAAGCTAATGATACCTAGCTCTCCAATGCCATTACGTCGTTAGCGGTTAGCACCTACACTTTTGACAGATAAAGTAAACGTCGACATACTGTAAGAAAAGTCTTACCTTTGAATTGAGAAGTTTAGGCGCTAGCCTGCTGACGCTTAGGAAGGACATAGTGTCTGTTCTGACGTATTAATTTCCTATTTTTCTCTATACAACTGAAAAAGCCGCTGCCAGTGAACCGCGGAGCTGGTTGAAGGTGCCCCTCCGGAAAGCAGAAGGTTGAAGAGGGATTCAGGCCCGCAAGTAGCAGTGGCACTGATTGGACAATACGCAGGATAGCTGCGATGGCGTATAACAATCCGATTGGCTGGAGAACAGCTAAGCGTGCGCTGATTGGATGAAGGTCGTCCCTGTTTGTATGTGACGACGGCTCATTATCAGGGGTTCGTTCAAGATCGAGACTCTGTTCCTTTGACAAGAATCAAAGCCATATTGGGGTTAACGAACCAGAAACGCTTTTATTATTAGCAATTCAAAGTTTGTTGTAGTTTCAAGTTGGAATGTATGTATTTGCAAAATCTAGTGTTACATGTAAAGAACACACCGGAGTGTACGCCTTTAAGGGTGTCCTATGTCTTTTCAATTCAAGAGACTTCTAGCCCTTCCTCTAAAAATAAAAATGTCCCTTTACCAAAAGGTGGTGCCAAATTTGCACAACACTGACTTAGACAGGCGTGATGCTATCCTATTGCTTGTTTAGAAAAAAAAAATGATGCACCGATAGTGAAGCTGGGTTTTACCCATCTGTTGTCACTCAATTAGTGGCAAGACATGTTCTGTTGTTTATACATTCAACAGATTTGATGATATTCTGCTGTGGATGCTGGTCTTCTTTTCACTCCAGCGATTATGTATGTGGTACCAGTTCCTACTTAACTGGAATAATTAATTAATAATTAATTAATCATTTCTTGCTATAAGGACTTAAAAACTGAAGACCGGATATGACATTCCAAAACAAACCAATCCTACCTTTAATATTACACATTATATGTATGTGAAATCACATTTTAAACTCCCTCTTTATGTTATTCCCGTTGAACGTTGTTTTTTAAAATGTTTTTCAGTTATCTCAACCAAGGTTACTTCAGGAGTATAAATTCATTGTATTTTTGTTTTTAATGTGTCCTTGGAAACTGGCCACACATGCCTACAAAACAAGCCCAGTCTAGTAGTCTCACTTCCACCGCGCCGCCTCCTGCAGCGAAATGTGCTACAGAATTAGTGTCTGGTTCTCTACATTTGCTTTAAATACTTGAAAAAGGCTGCAAAACATGGTAAATGTACACACTTGGTTGACTTATTATTGCCCAACAAATGTATCATCGGGATTAATGTTCCTTAATGGCTAGATTTGTATTGATTATATGTTATGTATAAGTGAAAACTGACTTCATTGAGGCCTGTACAATTTACTGTGTTTGAATTGTAGCACATTTTTATACCTGTGTAGCCCAGGTTAATATAGGTGTGGACTTCAAGGACACGTTGGCTGCTGACATGCTGACTAAGCATTTCTAATATCTGTAGTGGCATGTTTTTTTGGCATCTTATTGACAGCATGAATTGTTCACTCATTAATCAGTAGGGGCAGGTGAATAAGAGGTTGTAGATGTAATCTTTGAGGTTACTCAGAGCCACAATAACAGGGGACAGAAGCACTTTAGCAAAGATCCCAGTCATTATGTGCCAAGTTAAACTAAGTATCATCTGTTATTCCATGAATGGTTATATAATTATGCCCATTAGCTAATTTATGCAGTTAATTAATGCAAATTGAAATTACTGCAAAACAAGAAGCTCAATCTTTATTGTCAGGGAATCCGAAGAAACAAAGATAAATGAGTAGCTGGTTGTTTAGTGTCAGGCATTCATGTTCAAAACAACTGCATGCAGCTTACACTTGCGTGGTGTGGCTATGTTATTGTGACATAACTGTTTGTTTGGTTTGTCCGAGGAAATGACTGAATTCTGCAGCTCATTAAAAAGGATTCAAATGCCAAGACATTATAAAAAGAAAAAGTGAAAATACTGTCCTGTACTGATCCAAATGAACTTTCTTTTAATATTTATTGAATTGGAACGTGATACCTTTAGTTGTATCGTCATTGTTAATCACTCAATGCAAATAATTTAATTCATTAAATGTATTTGGCACATTTCAAATGATCAGTTTATGTTCACTTTGTCAGGAACACACTGTACAAAGACCCAAAAACACTTGGAACATATCATTTTATGGATGGAGCTGTAGAGCTGTAGACCAAGGAGGTCTTCTTAATTTTTTTTTATCTGTGCTGTCAAAATGTTCACATTAACCACGTTCATTAATAAGGGAAGCTTAATCTGATTAAAAATTTTAGTTCATGGGCAGAATGACCCTGAATGTGTAGCCAATAATCCCACTGTCCATCCACATCGTTGCTCTTACACTACATACTGCTGAGAAAATGAAAAATCAAACAGCCCTACTTTTTAAATAATTTCAACTCATTAAATGCTATAGGTTTTAGTTTTAAATCCATCCATTGTCCAATTAAATGTCAAACCACTTTGACTGACCAAGGGGCATTTCAGGGAGCTTAAGATCTGCTGTCCATGGCTCCTGTGCCTCTACTCTGCACACTAGTCCTGATCGAAGACAGAAACTGTTTACGCCACAAGAAAAACACAAAAAAGTGTAGCATTTAAAAGACAACAATAAGTAAATTAACAAAAGAAGAAGCACGGCAGTATTAGTGGAGCGTTTTAAAAATGGAGAGATTGATTTTGGTCATCTGTTCAATGGGAACGACGTTTCTGTACATGCTCATTTGATGAGGAGGGCAGGGAAAATTCAATTGCCCATACGAGTAATTTAATAACTGGTTGATGAGTCTAGCTGTGCTTCCTCCTGCAGCTGCACGGTAATGTTGACATTTAACTGGTTTAAAGGGGAGACTGATAAAGTCTCCCAGTTTAATTACATTGAATGAGTTAGACTGTACCTTCTCACAGCTGCAGAGTCAGTTTGTAGGTCTTTTAGTGTGCTCCAGTACAACTCTGACGGGTGATATTCTGAACCTGGGGAACACATATCGTAGAATGCAATGTGAACTTATCCACATCATGCAGCCGTTGAGACATGCATGTTTTCAAGTCTTTGTAAACCTATGTGAGAAAACGTTGTCTTCCAGTCAACATCATCTGGAGGAAACTGTGTCAGGAAACAATGTCTTCAACAAAGAACACAACAAAAACAATCGTGTGCAACAAGTTATACAGTCATACAATAATTTTTTTCCACAAGTTATAGGAGGTGATCGGATGTGTTTGGTCCCCACTCTTGTGCTCGTGTGCCTTGAACTCCGACCCAAGGTAAATGCATAAAATGGTGTACAGCCCTGGAGCATCCTTCCACAAGAAGGAAAGGGAATCTCTAGGCTCAGTCGTCTTCCTCCTCTTCGTCTTCTATGGGATCTAGGAGAACAGTGTGCTTCAAGCAGGTTTGGAGGTAGTTCACCACTGTCCGCTGGAAGTGCTGGATGCTGCGTGGCTCTCTCAGGACGTGGCCCTCGTCCGGGTACAGCTGCAGTGAGTAGTTTGCTTCAACCTTCACTAGACGGCTCAGGAGCTCAGCACTGTGCTGGAAGTGTACCCTGGCTGTTACACACACCCAGACAATGAAAACACACATAACTTTTAAGCAAACACTAAAAGTCGGATGATTTACAGAAGCCTCACCATCTGCTGTCCCATGCAGAATGAGAAAATTCTCATCTTTCAGCTTGTTAACTTCCTCCAGCAGAGAGGCGGTCTGAAACGATACAGCGGGACGATAAGACCGGTCCAGAAGGTAGACCCACATCACCGAAGCTGGTGGAGTATAAAAACAACCTCCCTACAACAAATCTCACCTTCATAAAATTTAACATTCAGTTTTCACTGGAACTTTTGGTGGAAGGGAAGAGTGTCATAAACTTTACGGTTATCACAGGGGCTGTAGACTGTCCTGGATTTACTTTGTGCTCTAATATACTGACAGGGTTTCTATTATTTAGTCTCTGGCCCTCAGTGGTATAAGTGAGGAGGCCAAACTGTTTATACTCCAGCTGCAAAATAAAATAAAATAATATGGGTATAATGACATAATAAAAAGGCTATTAAGCTGAATTAAGGCCTATTTAAACAGTTTAAATAAAAATAAATCCTTATCATAAAGGTGATTGATTGTGTTGTTCCACCTGGTCATGAGCGACAAATGAGTATAAATCAACAACACATACTGTATTATTAGCAGAAATAGACTCTGATGTAGTTGTTATTCCCTTGTATAAACGTGTACCAGGCTGTACCACACAATCTATATTTATTCTGGTCTTTTCTTCATCATGTTACTGCAACTTTGTATGCAATCATACTGTCTCTTTACATTTTTGAGAAATATTAGCGCTAATTCTGTATATTGCTGAAATAGAAAGACAGATGACCGAAGGTAGATGTATGTGTTTCACACCTGTTTTTATTTGTAATTGACCTAAATGGTGACATTAATAATATGACAATGAATTTACACACCGAAAATGTAGTTTCATAGAGTTGGTGGTGGTCTTTTGAAACGAAATTAAAAACATTTAATTGTGTGTAATTTTTTTAAATATTTTTCCATGTTAACTGTGTTGAACATGCAGAGCAAATGGAGGAACCTTGATCTCTGTTTTAATGTAGTGTGACCAGTCATGTGACAAACTACTACTCATCTTAAGCAGTATGACATGAGTAAACAGCCCAGAGTTGTACTTTAGGAAACTTACTGAGTAAGCGTGCTCCTCCTTTGCTGGGAGGCCCAGATACCTCTCAGAGAATGCTGCACCTGAAAGCAGCAGAGCAACATTTATGCTGTTTTTGCGTCAAGGATTTGTCACTGTGACTAACAGTCAATGCTGATTGTACTACTTACTGTAAAGTCTGAAGTCTGTTATAGGTGCAGCAGCTGCAGTGCAAAGGAACAGTTTATCGGTTGAAGCTAACATCTTGAGTGTTAAATAACCACCAAATCCCTGTCAAAAGAAAGGAAATAGTTTTTTTTTAAAAAGTTTGGATAAAAATAAAGTCCTTTTGTCCAGGTGAATGAAAACATGTCACCTTGCCATAGAGAGCCATCCTTCGGTCATCGATGTAAGGCAGTTGCATCAACAACCTACAGGTGATCGTGTGTTAGTTTAATTATTTACTCAGGTTCATCTCAGCTCCTGCATTTTGAACTTACTCTATTACTGCCAGATAATCTTTGGCTCGGAGTGAGCCCAGTTTGCGCGAGTCCAAAGCTGTTGTCTTCTGTCCACGACCTACGCCGCTCCTGCCGTCCACCCAGGCTAAAGCCACATGCTGAGCACTGGAGAGGACCTGAGGCCAGTCCAGGGAAAATTCTTCAGTCACAGACTGCCTGCCAGGAACGCCGTCTCTGAACAAGGAGACAAACAGGATTATCTGCTGAGGTGACTGCTGTTCAGTGTTAGAAGTCACTGGTTGTGAAACAGCTGATAGGTGTTTTGTCAGGTCTGGTGTTTTGTGACATTTTAAAACTCACACAATGACAAGTAGAGGGTGAAGGTTGGCCTCATAACCCTGGGGTAGAGATAGCTTCAGGTACAGATCTGAGGAAAGCACATGGTCGTTACCTGGTCACTTAAACAGCACTAAGAAATTTGAGGGCGCCACTGTGTCTGTGAGAAAATGGAAGTTTATTGTAGGTCTATATATATATATATATACATATATATATATATTAAACTGCCCATAGAGCAGCTTGGTCCATGTGACGACGAGCTTCAGAAGAGTACAGTTCCACAGATATTGTCAAGTCATACTGCAATGCTCATGCAAAATATTTAGACTTTAAATTAGTTAAATTATTACATATTTTACAAGACAGGATGCTGAATTCAATTACATTAGACAAGGGTGTTAATAGCACCTCCTGCTGGTAAGGGTTATGTGCAAGAACTGACATCTTTAAAGCCTCTGTTCCACTCATATTTAATCTATATAGGCCTGAGAAATTCAAATTTGTTTGAAGCATAAACTTGTGTGCATATACAGTATTTAATTTCAGTGGGAGTTCAGAGTTTTAAGTGAAAGCAAAGAAATATATATGTATATATATTTTTAAATGAATGTAAAATTTCAGATAATGGTCTGTTTGTGGTACCATGGTTTTCTGCTGAAAGTGTTCTGAAGAGAGTCTCAGGAAGATTCTTGTCCTCCAGGGAACTAGACAGAGGGCTGTTATCCTCCAAGACAACATATCCTACAGGAGACAAAACAACACTGAGACAGTGAAAACAGACCACGTAGACCAGGGTCAGGAATAAACCATAGATTACGACTGAATGTCTTTGTAATGTCTGAAACTGACCTTCAAATTCACACAATAAGGGGTTTCAGTGTTTCTGTGTTTGCTTGTTTTTTTGTTTTGGTTAGTTTTTTAAAATGTTTCTGTAATAAACATACTGTATGTTCCATGTATTTTTTGAAGGGAATGTTTTCCAAAAATGACTGTCTACAATATAATGTGCCAACCACAAGGATTATAGATGACTGGAAGCTAAAAGTTAGCCAAAATAGCTAAAGTTAAAGAACAGAAAATGTAAACAAAAAAGGATTAAAAATAGTAAGTGTTATTAATTTTACAAATGAATGAATACAACGGTGAAAAAAGGACATAAAACTGTAGACTTATCGACACGTCATTTCTAAACGTAGCTCTGCACAGCAGAGGGCACTATAAACAAGCATAAAACGAATTAAATTACTGTACTGCACATTTATGTCCGTCTTGAATACACTGCCCCCTGTAAGGCTGTCATAGGACACTGCAGTGAACCTTTGTGTTTGTACTCACTGTAAGGATCCTTTGTACTGTGAACCGTCACTTTAGGGATACCAGGCCCTGGAAGAAAAAAATCCATATTGCAAAATGTTGCTTTAAAAAAAAAAGAAGAAAGAACGTAAAGTAAAAAAAACCCTCCTAATTTATGAAAATAAGAAATAACAAAACTAGTTATCAATTTGTGTTTTTATCATTGCACACTTCTGGGGCTGATCCTTCTTCATTGCCTTGACTAAGAACTGAAATCTTGTTACTTTCACTTTGGGGAAATGAAGCAAATCAGATAAAGCTAAGACCTCAAAGCTTTAATAAATGTAACAGTTATTTTTACAGTTACTTTGATAGTTTTAAAAAAATGTATCTCATTTACCTAAGCAATAGAGTGTGAAGTGGGTTTGATTGGGGCTGAATTCAGCTCGGAAGAAGCCACATCCGTCGATGAGGTAACAGGAGATGCAGTGGCGCTGAAACACTCCGTCTAGGTCCACACTTGGAAGGCAGTAAAGAGACAGTGTTTAATGACAGTGGATGACAGAATGAGCTGCTTTAGGAAGAGGTCGATGGATCACCGGGATCACGGTATCAACATTTAGAGTTAAACTACTTCACTACTTCTCAGGAACAAATGGAGTCGCCGCGAGATGGGACACTAAAGCCGCGGTACAGATGATTCTGTCAATCCTCCACACGTCGCTTAATCACGCGGCCAAAACTGATTTCATACGAGATGGATCTCCGAGCAGCTTTAAACAAGCCATCAACACTGCGTCATAATATTGAGCAGCGCCTGTGAAGCACAGAGCTGTCTACTGACGAGAAGATATGAAACCTTTAAGGCAGACGAGGACCCACGAAAACATTAATCACCCGCAGCAATATAAGTCTCAGCGGCTTTAGCCTCAGCAACACACAGGGCCCTTGTCCAAAGAGATTGGTTTTGGTTATAAATGTCTCTATTTAATTGTTGTTCCGGAGAAAATACTGCCCACGACTACAAAGATTTATGTCTGGTGTCTCACTGAATGCTTTCCCCATGTTGTTCGTCCGATGTTGGTGAAATCTAAACACGGATCTGACAGATTTAATTAACAGCTTCATTAAATATTAATGGATTGTTTTGAATGTTCAAGGGGAATAACATTCAAATTATTAAATCATCTGATAATGGTCAACAACGTGTACAATGTACTGTATACAAACTAGATTCAATAGTCTTGTTAGCATGGAAGCTAATTATCAATTAATTTTGATTACAAAAAATCTACACCAAAGAAAAATGTGGTCGAGAATATTGTCTAGAAAGACCACTGATGTATGGATGATATATTATGTCACTAAAACTAATTGCAACATGTGATATACATTATATCACTAAAACTAATTGCAACATGTGATACTGGGAAGTGAATTTCTCAGTAATTTGTAGTTTGCAGTGACGATAGTAGCATGTAATGTAATTTGCTATAACTTGTTATTATCGCATTAACTTTAGCAGCGCTTAAACACACCATAAGGCCTCATTAAAATCTCATTAAACTTTGGATGAATTTATATAAATACAGATATAGTCATGTAGTTATGAGATGAATGATAATGACTTATTAAAAACATTCAAGGACTTAAAAAGAAAGAGCTACACTGAGTGTATGGTGGTCCGTACATCTGCAGTGACGCTGCCCGCTGTCTTTTTTCAATCTGGTGTATATAAGATGAGGGATATTAGGGCACCTCTGGTTGGAAATTGTTTTAAATAAAAATAGAGCCAATAGGTGGCGGTATTGCAACAGGAAAAACCAGTGACCATTAAGAGAACTTGCACAATGATAATTAGTGACTGAAACATTCTAAGATAGTTGAACCAAATGAGGGAATCATTTCATCATGGAGGAACGATAATTTAGAAGCAACGTTTTTGGAACAAAGGATTATTTAAATCTGGAAACAAACTTGAAACGTGAGCACAGGCTATGAAAACTGTGCTTTTAAATTTAAGGGGCCAGAAAAAAAAAGCACCACCATAACAAAAGGAAACACATTGCAAAATTAGATAAATAAATCCCACTCAGTCAATTTAAACCACTTTTAAAGGTCTTGGAGCGTTATAAGAAATTGTATTTTCTTTGATGTTCTGGTCTCTTGGGTATCTATTATTGCAGTGCTTGGAAAATTGTGTTTCATTATTTTTATTATGTGATGTGATTTTGGTTTGGTAATTTCACAGAAGGGACCCTTAGTCGTATTAAATAGGAAAGATGCTGATGATAGAGGTCCTGGGAGTAAATTCCAATTAAATAAAAAAAAATCAATCTGGTTTTAAAACAAAAGGAAACTGTAGTTTCAGGGATTTACGTTTTTTCTTACCATGAAACGTACTCACCTGTAAAGGTGTCTGCTCTGTCTGGACTCCTCTGTGCTCAGGAAGTACCTGAGGAGGAGAAAGATTAAATACAGAAATGTCAAGTTAGTCCACAGCTGCACGTGGCCCGTGGGCTGCGTAACTTCAGCGCAATTACTCAGCAGATTAAATTATTCATGACAAACCTATTTACATTTTTTGGAGCATTAAAAAAAACGTGTATCTCATTTAATTTTTTAATCAGTAGAAGTGATTCTGACTTTAAAGCAGCTGAGCAGCAGAAGGCGATCACACAGCTGTTGGTGGTGACCATTCACATGGAGAGAACTGATTGCCTTATTTGTTGGTGTTAAAGCTCCACTTACTTTCTGTTCAACTGGCTGTGTTGACTATGCAGAAAGTTTAGATTTAGTAATCCTAACAAAGTCACAAGCATTCGATTTGACCTGGCTCCACAAACTTGCTCTCACATACAGTTTGCCAGCCTCTTCATCCATGGCACACAGCATGGTGACATCCCAGCTGCCTGATGTCAAGAAACGAGGGGGAACAGACGGAATAGCAAGCTGTTTTTAAAAAAGAAATAAAGACAAAGTGAAAGGTAGGAAGACAAAAATAGGTGCAGTGATACAGTCAGAATGTGTGAGAGGACTGAAAACAGACAGGGCTGTTCCATACAGTGGAATTTAAATGACGACCTCTGCAGTGTGGTGCCTTTGTTTATCCCGCGGTTGTTTATGCAAGAGAGGAAACAAATGGTTTGTAGAAGACCATGAAATGCTTTACTGCCAAACTTACATGGCTGCTGATGAGAGGAAACATCATTTTTTATTTTTAATTGCTCTACTAGGGTTGAATTAATTATTGAACTGAGATCAGTTAAAGTCTGTTAAAAATGTTAAGACCGAAACGGCAGCAGTCTCACTTCATTCCTCCCAAAGGAACATGAATATTTGTTTTAATTTCACAGTGATTTCCTACGGAGGAAGGACTAAACATACCTTTACTAAATAAGTTAATATAGCTACCACAATAGGCTACCACTACTAAGCTATTAACACTGGTGATACCTCAATATTTAAATATTTCTAATAATTTCTATTGTACAGTCTTTGCCTCTGTCCCTGATGTTGCTGCAACACACACATTTCCCCAGTGTGGGATCAATGGAGTTCAAATTTCCCAAGTGTGGGATCAATGGAGTTCAAACGAATCTATTCTATTCTAAAATGTATGAATTGAATAGTCCAGTCATCTTATGTGCATTATCTAAATTTGTTGGCTCACTAACTCAGTCTCATTCGCAGAAAATCCTCACTATATTTGACAGCAGTGGTTATTTAGTCTAAAAGTTGCTAAAATTCACTAAATTCCTACGTATAGTCTTTGATATATGTGACCTCTTAATTGTGTATTCTTTATTTTTCAGGATTGGCTGTATTTTATTGTATTGCAGTTGTGTACCATTGGACTCTTGGCCAGTAGTCCAACATAAATGATCAACTTTGGCTTTACTGAGAGCAAAATATCCATCAAATTAACAAGGAAAAACTCCTATTGATTTAACAATAACAGAAGTGTCGGGTACTGTGTGAAAATCAAACCTGAGGCCGTGAAGTGCTGCTGCGATCTGTAATCTCACACTGTTTTATCTGACCCTGGTGGAATTGTTAACAAGCCCTTAATGTTTACAGTCCTGGAACTGACCTGCGCTGAGAGCCCAGCAATGTGGTGGAACTCTCCACGAGCGCCTTGTTTGGCCGGCAGTATTGTATAAAACACGGAGCCGTCGGCTGAAAACAGCGGGACGTCCTGTGGCGTAAAAAGGTGAGGAGTCAAGCACAGAAGACAACAGTAAAGAGCAGCTGGAAACAGACACTGCTGTGTTTTTGTAACATTTACCTGTCTCTGGTTCTGCATTATGTCCAGCGCTGCTTTGTGTTTCTGAGGAATTCAAAGAGCATGTGTTAGTCGCACATAATTCAAAATGCACTCTCATCATGTATCCAAAGAACGTTTACATTATAGATAAATCGTAGTTTTTCTGCAGCCATTAGTAATTAATGGAAATATACAGAAGAACAACAAAGCCATTCCGAGCCATTTGGGACAAGATTTTTCTTTATCAATTTAAGAGTAATATTCAAATGTAGTCTTTGGCCTTGGCTGGCAAACAACCCTGCTGCCTTGGCAACTGGCTCCAGTAACCTCGCTGCTCTGTGGAGCATGGCACAGTGGCCGCTCAGACCAGCCAGCGGTCCACGACCCAGATGTTTTCTTTGGTACAAACAACCTTTTATTGTTGTTCAATTATTTAATATGGAATATGGAAGTGTTTGGAAAACTATGCAAAACACTTTAATTTTGACATTTGATTAGATATCTACTATATACTGTATACTGTGTATAAATGTGTGTGTATGTATACATGTACACACTATTATTACCATAAATAAATCATTTTCAATCGAATCACATTCAGTGAGAGATGGTGCAAATAATATATTACTAAGAGAAGTTTTTTCAAATGACCTTAAATATTAATCTTATCACTGGAGACTTGAAAAAAAAAAAATCAATGCCTTCAGCAGTGTAAACGAGGCACACATTCCATTAAAACTCCACATTACAGGGGAGACCATTTGATTCCAAATGTTTGAAAGGCGTTGACTCACCTCCGAGCACGCGCCGGTCGTGGCCTCGCACACGCAGAGCACTGACTGATTCTGGGCACGGTTGAGCCATCGAACTGCCAGCCGGGTGCTGCTGATCCACGTCACCATAGAGATATAGCTTTCTCTGCAGAGGATAATACACAGGGGGGAAAAGACTGAAAGGTACTGCAAAAGAACCATGGAAAACAAAGAAATATGGGGAAAATTTAGACAGGTGTGATAAATTCTGACAGGTGCTGCCTCAAGCCTTCAAATTTTATTCACCCTTTTAGGTTTACCCACAATATATTACCTGGTCCTGAGGGAGTCAGGAGGCATCATCTCCAGAGTGTGAGCGGGGCCATAAAGATTCACCACAAACAGACTGACTGATGGGATACTTGATCCAGCCTTTCAGCACAAGGAGAAGGGAAGTTTAAAGCGTTGTCAATTTTTTATCCATTGTGCATGGAAATATCATGTATTTTTATGAAGACAAAAATGGAAATATTCAGAGAATAATGGCTCTTCCTTTGCACAACCTATTCAGTATTTTTTTTATTTATCTCCCAATAAACACATACGCCTGGTTATCAAAAGATATTTGCTATACTCTGAGGTGATCAGAGGTAATCCTGTATTTGCTCACGGTAACTGAAGGAAACTAGAAGTTAAAAAAACAAGTTGGTCATGTGTGTTATTTTATTGTGAAGGAGCAGCACAGATGTTAGAAGTGGTTTACTGGGATAAGGCAGGATTATTCATGTTAAATCCCTGCCATGGCTGCCAGCAATATTTCCAATTATCTCCTCTGTGCAGCACACCCCCCATCTCACCCCGTCCTCCTCGTTTAAATCTGCCTGGAATCAGAGGCATTATGTTATATCACAATCTTAAATATATTCTACCCCAGTATCTTTGTCTGAAGGGGGCAAACAGTGCCTTAATATTCTAGTAAACAGAACATACTGTTCTATAGTTCTTTCAAGAAATTCAAGTATATGAAGATTTAAAGTGCAGTAAAACCCAACATTAACTTGTTTTTTAGGTAAATAAACAAAGAAACATAGTTGGATGTTAATTTAACCTGAACCACAGCACTGTTGTTGTTGATTTAAATACTGTATTCAAGCTACTAAACAACATCTGGTTTTGTGTCATTTGTGAAGAATCCGACCTTAGAATTACTGTCATTAACCACGACACCTCCATTTATATAACGATACGCCTGAGATATTTAGATTTTAATAATCTAAAATTCCAACACGCTTGCAAGTAGTTTAAGGCTGATTTCAGAGCCACCTGCAGAACTGTGAAATAAAGTCTACCAGTTAGTACCTTGGGGTAAGGGAAGAGCATGTTGGACGGGTAAAGACCACCTAAGAACTGGGGTATTTCCATCACAGGTGTGGCAGAGTTGTTGATGCTTAGGTAGGCCAGCCTGGCTCCATCCATAGACCACCAGTGGGCAGCAGAGGTCAGAAGCACCTCCTCTGTATTAAGTGACAATAACAACATATTCTTGCAAAAGTGAATACATCTCAGTTCTGGTTTTAAAGTATTGATGTTGTCTTGTAATCTGGATACTCCACCTTCGTAGGTCCAGTCAGAGATGCCATTCACCATATTATGTCCCTGGCCAGTGGTTGTAAGACGCATGGCTTCAGCGTTGACGCTCGGTTTGTAGTAGATATCGCCATCGAACACAAAGGCCTGGCATGGGCAGCACACACACACACACAGAGAGAAGCAGACGGGCAGCACACACACACACAGAGAGAGAAGCAGAAAATCCATTATCTAAGACAGTCTTCTGGCAGAATTGAGCGTTCGCTGTCCAAGAATGGATGAATCATCGGGCAGCACACACAGTTTGTAGTCAATTCGTCTTTACATGCCAGTTAATACGCTGCATATGAGCAATGACATAGCGGCAAAAACCAATTACGTTTGGGAGGGATGTAGATGAATCATATTATCAGTGTACAATGACCCCTGTAATAGCAGTTTAGTTTCTGCAATAACCTTTGAGCTGGAGGTCTTGTCTGTAATGTCAACCACATGCTGCGATTGATGTTCTCATTAACAAAACATCGGATGAGATTCAGCGTCAGGATTATTACAGATTGCAAAGGTTAAGGAAGTCTTCCTATGATATTGAGAGGGACACATTGATCAAATGACAGCCTCACCAGCTGGTTCCCCTGTGGCCCCCAGGACGCGTACAGCAGCGCTGCCTTCTGCCTCTCTGGAGGGTTCAGCTCCGATAGATCCCTGAAACACACATAAAAACTCAAACATAATCCCTCCATTACGGATAACTGTCCCGCTTAAAGCCCTGTGAGCTCCATCCAAACCCTGCCCTTGAGAGAGAGATAATGTGCTGTGAGGACAAGGGGGCAAGATGCAGCAAAGGAAAACAATGGTTCATGCAAGAGTGCAACATAATCCTGGCTGCTGGTTCTGCTCTCCTCTGGACAGGCAAACATTTTCCTCCCAGGCAAATTCAGGCAATAGTTAATACCGTAGGAAACTGCAGGTCCCCCCGCAAATCCTCTCCACTGTGATATTCAGAGGTTCATCCACAGCCACCGGAGACCTTTACCCTACTGCTACAATGTAGAATATGAATCTCAGGCAGTGGAGTCTAGAGTACAGTACAGTACAAACCTCATGTCGTATGGAACCCGGGGAGGACAGTGACAAATGAATGCATGTCGGACAGATATATGTGGCTCTGGTTGGATGAGAGACGCTTTTGACGCAGACATTTTTTTTTCAGTCCCGAGATCGGCTTGGTAGCGCTCATGCCCAGTGCAGCCCATGCATTAGCATTCACAATTCCACCTACCCATTAGCCACATTGTAGATAGCATAGGAGGCTGTGTAGGACTGAGTGAAAACCTGAAAGAGGTAAAGAGTGTCATGCACACAGGTGTGGCACACTGACTGTAGAGGACACACTACATTTACTGTAATTTGGTGCTCACACATGCTCAAACATGTCAAAGTAAAAAAAAACGAAAAAAACGAAACAGTGGGCCAAGACGGTATTACAATTATCCGACAAGCAGCACGAAGCTGTTTGTATTCTTTGAATTGTTTTTTAAATTACTGCTAAAAAAAGTATACTGCTTATTGCCCTCACAAATGAGGATACAAAAAATTAGAATAGAGAATTTGAAAGACAGTCTTCATAAAAGGTGAATAAAAGTCATCATTATCCTCTTAACAAACAACAAACAGCACCAGGTGTAGTCATTATTAACTTAACCGTAATACCTTAAGTAAAATTAGTGCCTTAAAAAGACCCGTCTGTTACTACACCAATCACAGCTAAGTTAAACTGACTAATTCTAAAGTGTTGCCAGCGATTTCTTGCTTATTGCATCACTACTGCAGTCAGAGTAAGAAGTAGCAGAAGTTTGGAGGGGTTTTTTTTAGCTTAAGTGAACAAAGATAACAATGTGACCACAGAGAGAGAGAGTTAAAGAAATAAAGGCAGACATTCATTAAACAGCGTCCCACTAAAATCTACTGCGACGCAAACCTGACACGAGCATCAGTCGTTCAATAAATAATTTAATTCAAGTGTTAAAGTAGACAAAAAAGGATCAATGGTTTTGTGCACGTGTGCGTTTCCCATAATTGATCGCAGCATTACCTGATGTGTTCTAGGCTTAAATTGATTCCTGGGATTTTCCTTTCTTTTAGTTTAGAACAAATGGCAGGAAGCAGGCTATTTGCCCCATGGCCTTCAAAAGGGTCGGCCTCTTGGAAAGCCAGTTCCGAAAGAAAATTAAATGTCACCTCCTATTCACAGCACATTTAGCAGTGAAATTGAATTTCACCTCTCTGTTGTTTGTGTGTTGTTAGAAATTCATGGAGTGACACAGGGGCAAAACCGCAGGGGCAACGTAGGGGAAATAACTGCTAGGACAGTACAAATGAAACTCAGATCGGTGATATAAGGTCCGAGCCACTGACTGTGCACAGGAAATAAAAGGAGCCATCCAGTTGAAACCAAACAGAGACTGTAAGTCAGCGATGGTTTATCCAAGTGAGAAGACATGTTTTGTTTGCATTTCATTGACCAAACTGCTCAAAAATGTTGTTTGGAATGAGATGCTTATAATAAATCACTTTAAAAGTTTTTCTTCTTTTTTCTTTTTTTTCTTTCTACTTCCAGAGTGTATTAAACCCTGATGAAGCGCAGCTTTATTGGATTTACTTGAGCTTTTAGAAAAAAAAGAAAAAAAAACATCACTTACAGCTTCAGACTGTTCTTTAATGAGAGGAAGCAGTGGCCTCGATGAACAACATTTTCATTTGTGCACCAGTGTATGAGGGGTTGTGAGTGACATTTAGAGATAAAACACAACCTGTTGTATCGTGTTGGGTCAGTGATGAAATTTATACTATGAAAAAAAAGGAGAGATACCACTTCGTATTAAAATTAAAACCCCTACTTGAGCTGTCAAAACAGCTTGACTATAAATGTTAGTTTCACAATGGCACATGAAGGCATCGTGACCAATAGGGAGGACCCGTAGGAAAAAGAGTGTAAAAACAGAAAGAGGTATATGAACAGAACAGGAAGGCGTGTACGGTGAAACAGGAAAATGTGAGGGATGGAATTGAAGATAAAGTAAGAAAAACAGGAAGGTAGGAAAAGGATGCAGAGGCACAGACTGGCAGCTGGAGCTGACAGGTACCCCTACACACAGGAAGTGTTATTGACTGAAATGTCATCTCCGTGAGACCAAAGGGGGCAGCATTGCCACGAGCACGAGGCTCGAGCAGCCGCTTGCGGTTTGTTAAGGAACTTTGCGATTCTGCTCTTGATTTAACATAATACAGCCGGTGGCAGAGGCTGTAAATTAACGTGTGTTTTTGTGTGTCCGCATGTGATAAACAGCCAGGGAGAGTGAGAGCATCTGTCTCCGAGAGGCAGAGTGAACTCTAATGTGGCTGCCAGTAGCATGTCATAAATCCTCCAGATAGTCCTGCCCCTCGCCCCCCTCACCACCACCACCACCAGTGCTCCCCACCCCCTCTTCAAAAGCTGCTGCCAAAACGAGGTGGGTGAGACGGGTGAAGGTGCACAATGCAGTCAGGAGATAGTGTGGGATAATATGACAAAGAAAAGAGGGATGGAGATAACAGCGCACTTTACATGAGCAGGGATATTTGTTGTAGAGCACGGAGATAATAGCTTCCATCCGTCTCTACAGAGATTTTATCTCACAAGCTCCTCTGATACGGCTTCCTTTTTACTTACGCTCATCAGCATTTGCTGCAGACACGTTTCCCACTGGGATTTTATTTGTCACTAAACTGAGCTGGCACACCAGGGTCTATTCGGTTCTGCTTGTCAATCCAAAAAAAACAACCCACCTTTTCTATCTTGAAGTCTAGCTCTAACAGGCACTGGGGCAAAGTGTTCCCCTGTAGAGAATCTTCTTTCTCTTGTTCCTGTGTAAGTGAATCCGTAACTTACTCCTACAGTATGTATTACCTCTTATCAAAATCCATTTATTTTTCATCCAGGCACAAAACCTCTCTTAAGCCTCACAGCTAATACAAAATCCACACAAGTCTTTTTTTTATTACACACTGCCTGTTCACCCACCTCTCTCCACTGCTCCAGCAATTTTATTTTATTTTTTTGAATTCCTGGCATTCCTTGATAACAGTTCCGATTGATTTCACTCAAACAGTGTATCTGAAGTCAAATGGTGCATATCCCATCATTCTTCTCCTCCTCACCTCATTCACAAGCGGCTCTCCCAACAGTGTTTTTCCCTTGTTCCCTACCACTTTCAGCAGTGAGCTGAACAGCAAAGCCGGTGTGTGGTGTGCAAACTGCTTCAGTCAGCATAAATCCCCCCGGAGACGGTCGGGGGGGAGTGTGAGGATGATGAAGCGGGAGAGAGGATGAAGGGAAGACTTGTGAAGAGGAGAAGGGATGGTTGGTGGGAAATGCCTTTGTGCATACAAACTGCCAACCTTGTTCACTGACTTATTTACATTCTGAATGAACAAATGATTCCAGGTGCTGCATCCACCTTCTCAGTGTGTTCACACACACACACACACACACACACACACGCTGAGCATACAAATGAGACGTGACTGATTTCAAACCATGTGGGGTATTGATGTGGCACAAAACTACCAAAGCCGCCCACCAGCCAGACTTTAATGCTCAGACTTTCATCTGCAGAGATTTTCTGCAAACTGATCGAATGCTCATCACGGTATAATTCCGTTAGAAAGCACTGTTTGGACTGGATGCTGCAACACAGCAACAGGCACTCACACACACACACTCTCATACATTTTCTGTGTATGAGGTTTTTTTTTTTTTTAGCACTTTACATAGACATGATGCATAGCCCTCCAGTCCAAATTTGACCACTACAAATATATGCCCAACCCTAATCCTTACCCAAATTCTAATCTGACACTAATTCTAATCCTTACTCAAATTAACCTGTTAGACCCTGCAAAGTCTCAGGACAAAGTGCCCACACATGTAAAGGTATATGAAATTTTGTGAGCACCAGACATAATGCAATCTGCTATCTCCTTACTGTAACCATAACCATTACACAGATTATCTGTCTGTGTAAAAATAACCTAAAAATACTCTTTCACACAATGAGGACCTGAAAAATGTCCCCACAAACCAACATGTCCCAACAACATTAACATTGCCCATAAACTTGTCCCCACAAGTATAGCCACACACACACGCACAATATGGGATGCCATGATTACTGCTCCAGACTCCAGAAATGACATACTAAAATACACTGAACGAATGAGGCGCTGATCAAGATGCAAAAATATGCGTTCAAATTTTTAATAAAAGCAGGGGGAGAATGTGCCCAGGGCTTTCACGCTCATCCATTTCTGTTTATCACCTCTGCTGATTACCTGCACACTCCACAGCCTCCCTGCCTGCCACCAGTGCCGCCACCTCCAAAGTACGTGACGGAGGCGAAACGTTAAGTGAGACCTCAGCGTTTGTCTGAAGCCACCTGTGATTGTGACTCCAGGGAGCCTCTCATTAACGTTCATCGCGGGCGTCGCTGATGTGACGATTCCATTACCATGTAGAGCCAACTCCAGAGTTTTCTCCCCCCTTTTTGCCTTCACCCTCACTTGCATCACTCCGTACAGATCCCTCACTCCGAAGTTCCCCTAAACCTCCACCAGCCACTTTAAATACTCAGCTCCACATAAGTTATCTTAGTCAATAGGCAAGTGGTGTTTTGACACCACAGAACGCTGCAGCAGCAGAAAACAAACACACACACACACACACACACGTTTCTCTCCTCTATGTTGCTTCTTCTCGGCTCTCACTAAGATTTGTGACACTGTTGTTTCCCAGGTTCTGCTGACCTGCCACACACGTAGGTTCAGGGACAATAGCGAGTTGTTTTTTAAATTTTTTTAAAAAAATTATTATTTATTTTGTTTTGTGGCCCCAGTTATTTCTTCCCCAGATAAAACATCAGCAGTACTCATTCTTACTCAACCTTATAGAAAACTTACCATTTGGATGTTATAAGCCAGGAGGACAAACCTCTTGTCTGCAGACACTTGGAATTTGGTGCTAGCCAGATCCTGTAAATGAACGAAGACCAACTTAAGAGAAATAATCACAGAATTAGAAATGGATGCTAATCAGAAGACTGCAAAAAAAAACAAAAAAAACACGAGGATCTTAAACCTGCTTCATTCTTACTGACGTAATCCAAAAGGAGACAGACTATCTTTAAACTTCATCTTTATTACAGTACTTCCTGGCTGTCAGCAGTCACAGTGATACAGTGACAAGTAAGAGCAGTCTGTCCTAAACTTTTTTTTTGGGGAAGCGACCAACTCTCGTACAAACCCTAGAATGCCGTAACAAACCATTCTGACTCAGTCTCTAGTATAAATGAGAGATCATTGCTTAATGTAAAAACTAGCATTATTATTATTATAGAATTTGTGCCTCATTTGTGTATGGCTAACAAAAATAAATCATTTTTTTATTTGATTAATCACGATTAATTGAAATAAATTACTGCTACTAAAATACGTCAGTAACTGTATATTTCTGGGACACAGAGACAAATAGCAGCAGGTGGATGTATGTCTTTCACACCACAAAGTGCAACAATAAGTAATTATTGGATATGATGTTGTGTGCCGTGTGAAACAATAGATTAGAAAATTAATTTAATTGATTTTACAAGTTAATTACTGCAATTAATTCAATGATCTCACTAAATGACCCGTTTTCAGTCGATATTAGCTTGTACTGGCAGAGGATGTAGAGGTGGATGCAACTGCAATATGGAGAACTGAATAGACTAAACCCATTAATTTCAAACCACTACTATGTCAGGATGGCCGAGCGGTCTAAGGCGCTGCGTTCAGGTCGCAGTCTCCCCTGGAGGCGTGGGTTCGAATCCCACTTCTGACAATACTATGCTTTAATTCTGTGTTACAATGACAATAAAGGCTTTTCGATTCTAACGTTTCAATTTCACATTGATCCCATCGGTTTTTAACGACTGATTGTGTGCGTTTGAGTTTTGTCTCAGTGACTCATCTCTGTCTAAGAGCCGTTTTGAGCACAGACAAATCTCCAGCAACAGACAACGATAACTGAACAAACCCTCGGAACAATCGCTATAAACTCGGCAGTTAACCAAAGTTACAGATGCATTTATTTCAATATCAAAGTAATAAAGTGCAAAAAATGTAATCTGTGTTGAAAACAGCAGCGCCTGGGCTGCTCTCTGAAGTCTGAAACAATTATTCCTTAGCTGTTGCAGTGAGACTAATGAAGATTGTTGCACAGACAGAATCAGGACACTTAGAGCTTTCTAACGATGTATAATTTATCAAGTTTGTGTGAGTCCAGTAAACACCCAGGGCCAAAGCACCCCGAGGCTGGGACAATGCATTTTTAAAGATAATCTGGTGTCATTTTTATATTTTCAGCAACTTTTAAAAGCATTATCGTTGTTTTACCCTATAGCTTTTCTACTTTTCCCCTGTTTGAGGCAATAAAGAAGAACACAGTGGTTTTGAATTCCAAATTAAGCTGTAAATTTACCTCTATCTCTACATCTGCAGCATTTTCACTGTTTTGGCTTCACTTCAATGGATTCTTTGAAACTAATTTTTCAGACAGTATTAATAAGCGTTCATTCATTCATTTTCCACTGCTCAACTCTTATTTGGGTCATGGAGTTTAAATCAATCACAGCAATCTGCCACATAACCACTTATAGACAAACAAACCATTCACACTCACATTCCGCCGTGGTGAATATAGAGTGAAAATGTACCCTAATCAACAACCTGCATGATTTTAGACCTTGGATTCAAATTGATGATCCTCCTGCTGTAAGGCAAACCTATATAACCACCAATCCCAGTGTATGGCCCCCACCTTTGTCACACACATTTAAAGGGTTCATTAATCCACCGTTTGTTTTAATTACACAGTATACAGTTTCTGCAGACCTCTGGTATACATTAGTTTAAGACTTCCAAGATTTACACAGAGGCACTGTTGGGAATTGGTGATCAAACTCTAAGCAGAGCAAAGCAGTTACCAAATATTTAACCGCCTACTGTCCGCCTGCTGTACTTGTTTTTTTTTCCACGTTTTAATTAGGCCAGTGTAAATGAATCAACACATCAGCAAGGTAAGCTTCTTTCTAATGTTCCTAAGTTAGCAAAGCTGCTAAATTTCAAACGTCATTATAAGTCAGGTACAAAAAAACAGGAAGGGGAAGAGAGGACAGATATTTATTTAACAGATATAATACTCTGCAGAACAGGGGTGTCAAACATATGGCCCGTGGCCCACTTGGGGGTTCAATACAGCCAACCAAAATTTCTGACATGTCAGAAATTCTTCCGACGGTGGTTCGGGAACAGATAATCGGCCCTCGTTACCCCCCGTGCGCTGTACGGAAAAACACGCCTGTCGAAACGTGAAATCGGGCCGAGCGTTTCCAGGTCGTGCGTCTCAAAAATCGGGTCAAAAACGGGCTAAAATCATACAGTGTATGCCCGGCCTTAGGCTTTGTCCACACTGTTGGTCTTTATACTGAATAACATTTTTGATGAGACAGGATTTGTGTGAGGTTGTTCACGTTTAAGTTTTAATGTGAGCAGACTCACATCAGACTCAAGTATGAACGGTCCTGGGTCTGAACGTTTGGAGGAATGATATATAGTTTGGATAGTGATTTCTGATACCTGTTCCTCGACAGGTAACAGAAATACTCCAAATACCTCAGCAGGATTTATTCTCGAAAAATACATTCATGGTATCAACTGATGAACAGCAGTAAAGCAATAGCAATTGCTGGGTAAAGGAGAAGATTCTTTTGATCTGACACCTTTCAGCGTCTCTACGCAATGACCCATATAAGTGTGGCAGTGTTTCGCAGAGGCATTTCTTTAAAATGATGCTCCTATTAGGAATATTCTCTTTGAAGGCACATGTGGAGGGCTTACAGAAGAGCCGGAGGGAAGGGAATGAGCTAATACTGTCACTCTGCCAAGTCTTTTTTTAATCTCACAACTAGGAGATGTGGAACAGTGGGACTCCACAGCTTATCTCCCCCTCAATTTGTCCGTGGATATGAGCCACTCGGCACTGAAACCTGTTTCCTGTCCCTGTGACTCACCAGGGAACTGTTGTCCAGCACAGTGGTGGTGAAGTTGCTGTTCAGGTTGAATGACAGGATGTGTCCCTCTCTGGTACGCACGGCCACTTCGTTGTCTGACAGGGTTGAGACATTGAAGCAGAGGGAAGCATCCGGTGTTAATAAGAGTCATTAATTAAATTAACAGATAGCTGCTGCGTCTGCAAACCAGCGTCACAGCCCTAGGTGAAATCATTAAAGGACTAATTTGTGGGTCTCAGCAGAGCTCCTTACCGTTCAACCATGCCACACAGGGGTCATGAACTTTGAATTCCTCACGCTCCAGGTCCTCCATGGTCAGATGGGAACGAAGGAGCAAGTGTGATTCATCTTTGAAGGCAGAGATTTGACATTAGTTCATCAGGGGAGCAGGAAACATGCACGGTCGTGGAATCAGTTCATTCTCATAGTTTGGCCGAGTTATGACTCCCGTTAAGACACATTCTGGGTGTTAATGAACAAGCTTATTACATTTTCTCAGTGGGCATTTCAATTTTCATTAAACACAGGGTAGTGGAGATTAAATTACAAGAAGGGAACATCCTGTCTGCTTGATATTAAAGCCAATTTATTGTGTTTGTTTAATCCAAAAAGACACTGACAAGTAAAATGTCAACATGTTTTTTTGGGGGGTGGGAGAGGGTTATAATCTCAAAGAGACATTTTTGTGGTTGCCAGGCAACTGCTTAGAGCCAAGAAATTGTAGCTGAGATTATACTCCTCCATAAAACGACGAATTTTTTTTTTTTTATTCTGCCGTTGTTGTACAGATAAAACACACCAAGTGTTAATTAATTGTAAGGCTGTGTTCAGTTATTTTCAGTCTGTGATTTTGTCAACCAAAAATATTTTCTACAATGGCAAAAATAATGCCTTGACGCCCAGCAGTGAATCTCATCTCTTTTTTTAAAACAAAATTTTACCCTCCAGCTTTTATTTTATTGATTTTTTTCTCATTTTCTTCCATCCTCACCAGGAGTCAGAAGGATGACAGAGAGAATGACCAGAGACATAACGGCCAGGATCACCACCATGGCAATTCCGATGCCCTTCCAGTTCCGTGGCGGACCATCTGAACTTCCCATGTCCTGATAGTGAGGGAAGGGAGCACACACACAGAGAACAACACACAAAGACAGTGATAAATGCCAGCACAGCACAGCATGGGGACATTAGTGATGCTTCATTTCCACATTCTCACAAAAATCTCCTTGACAAACTGCCTTAGGGAGATTGAGACTGGTCCTCAGCATCACAGTTAATCCCTTGTCGGATTAAGCACATTTTCTGTATGAGAGCTGCAAAAAAAAAAAAAAAAAGAAAAAAAAAGGTGCCTATAAAAAAACTAGACTTTGAACGGCAATTACAGTTTTGGCTGTGTCCTGATTTTTCTTCATCACTGGCTCATTTCACTTGTTACATGACTGACGGGGCGTGTGATGTTTCTAAAACAGAGTGGGATGAGTCCAGTTATTGATCTTCAGAGGCTTCGATTGTGAATCTATATTCAAAGCTTGTTTTAGATGCAAATAATTAGTGCAGGGTTAAGGGTTTATTTAGCTGCTCTAAGTTAGCTGTTACCTAAACCACAAGGGGGAATATGGTGACTATACATATGTGTGTGTGAGAGTGTGTAATATAATTGTGACTTAAAAGAGATGGTGGGAGTAGGTGTAAGACTGACTCTTTATATTTATATATATATACATATATACATATATATGTGTGTGTGTGTATATATATAAGATAGTATTCTGCTGTTTATTTGTGTAGCAGTTAGCACTGCTGCAAGCAGAGAGCAGAAGAGAAGTAAGGCTTCGATTCCCAGAGGAACCACATACCCCTGTTAATTTGCCCATTTTGGGCCAAATAAGGGACTCAATTATTATTATTATTATTGTATTTTGTGTTAAACCTATTCCATGTAATTCACTGTCCTATCTGCTGGGGCTCTGACCTCGCTCTTGCTTTATAAAAATCATATGTCTCACAGGATATTAGAAATGCACTCTGGGTCAGGCAAGTCTCTGCCAGCAGTCAATCACCAATGGTCAGCCATGTTGTCAACTGGTCAAACAAAGTGTAAAAACCACTGTAAGTAAGACGTCCTATTGTTTTATAAAAAGGTCTGAACCCTGCTCATTTAGTCCATAACATTTTTATCCTATTAAATCTGTTTCAACTTTTACTCAGTGTCTTGAATCCAACAATTCACACATTCTCCGGAGGGATTATATTTCTTTACAATTCTGTCATTTTTTTAAAAAAAAAGAAAAAAAAAGATACTACATCTCGGAAGGGGAGCTCAGTTTCCCAAGAGACAGAAACTTGGAAGTTTCTGCTCCACCACTTGCATACCATCTGCAGATGGGATCTGGAGGAACTGATGTAATGATCCGAACCTGTCACAATTAAACACAGTCCCATGCTGTTCCCAGCCTGCGCTGCATTCCCTTTTTAATGAGAGGCGGGTACTGCAGGAACCACGTGCCAGCTGGAGTGCGAGAGTCAAATCTCACTCCAAACATAAAACCCAGCCTTTGTTACGGCCGCCCAGCCCTCTGACTTAACCCTTGTTGTAGCATCTATGCTCACGCTCACCTTCCTCAGCCTTTGGCAGACAGACAGCGGAAGGAGGGCATCTGGTTCACTGGATAACAGATTGTTGCGCCTCCGAGCTCTGTGGGTGACACCGGCTGTCCCCAAGTCTCGGCAACTGGCCATAGTCCTTTCAAAATCCACAGCACCTACTCTCCACACAAAAGTCACTCTTCTCTGCTGGTATAGAAAAATACACTATGTTCCCCTGTAGTCCATTTAAGAAAAGTCTCTAATTCTTTGGCTGCTATAGAAAAGAAGACTAGCCATTTACTTAAATTACCTGAGTCCAAATGTCCCTAAAACACATCTCCAAATGGTGAACAGTTTTTCTTGGAACAGAGGATTGAACGTACATTCCGAATTCAGTAGAATGGAAAATGTGTTGCCACGCTATTAAATGTATTTATGTGTTTTTGTCTCAAAATAGTTTCAGTTTTATTTTACTTTTAATATAACAGATGCAGATAATGATGACGTTAAACAAGCAAATGAATCAGTTACATTCTAATATTATCATCACTTACTATGGACTGTAATTATATTTGTATTTATATGTCTACCTAAATACAAAGTCTACAAGATACCTCTGTTTGTACTGCTAAAAAAAGACTGCATCAAGATTTGCTTCTTGTTAATCAGCTAAAGAATACATTGACATATTAACTGGTGTTAGCAAACAAAATCTATAAGCAGTCTTTTTCAGTCCCATAACAACAAAACAAGTGAAGTGTGGAGCCATTTCAGTCTAGAGTTTTGATTTAAAGACCCAATGTGATGTTTGTAATCATTTTAGGTTTCCTTTTTTCACAAATATCAACTGCTTTAATCCAAACAGTAAGTCACAGTGGCTTAGCTATGTGGCTAACAGCGATTAGCTTCGAATCAAGCTAGGTGATGTAAATCTTTAGAAATTCCATTTAAAAACACACAGTACAAATCCAATTCAGCCCAAATTATATTCACCAACCTCACAGGGAGAAAATGCGGAGCGGCTGAAGCAGCATTTGAGTCTCCAGAACGATTTTTCTTTGGTAATTTATTCCCAGCCAAGGCTTCATCTTTGAGAGCTATCCATTCCTGGTTATAGAACCATAGCATGTAAACTTTAAACTAGCACCAGCTTCAGAAGAACTTTTAAGAACTCTGACAGGTCACAGCTGGAAGATTGATATCCATGCCTGTGTACTGTATCTACCAACCCTTCTAGAACTCTCTTTTATCTCTAACTTTTTCTCCTCTTGGATTCAATTTCTCAGGTGAAACTCCTATTATCCTTCCATCAGATTAGAAACTGTACAGTACTCTGTGTGCGCTTTGGTAAAGTAGGCTACAGTCATCACAGAAACACTGTACCATCAGCGCTGAACTCATACACTTTAAACTAACTACTTTCAGTGAACGCAATGGCACTATAAAGTAACTACAAAAAACAAAAACAATTTCTAGAAACGTCAGTACATTTCAGAAATGTATGTATGTATGTATGCAGCCTTTATAAAATATTAATATTGTACAGTATCATAGTAACAGGCTACATATTGGCTATGTTGCACTGACAAACACATTACTTTAGCTCAGAATACTAAGCCATGTCGTATGTTTGCTTCCGGAAAAATCTGTTAGCATGCTAATTAAGCAATCACACAGAATGTAACAGTTATTTTGAAATTTTTTGTTGCACTTTGGTACAGTAACAAAATAGTTGGACTGTTAGTTATTTTGAAATTTTTTGTTGCACGTTGGTACAGTAACAAAATAGTTGGACTGTAGAATTTTAATCATAAATTCATATCTTTGTTCTTTTTCCAAATAAAGGGCCAGACTACAGATTTTAGGCTTTACTGCACTTTCAGGGATTTGACCTACTTGTCCATGCATATCATACAGCAAGAATGCAATATTCTTCTGGAAACCCATAAGACTTGGATCAAATTATATTTCTTCACTTGACTGATCTCAGCACACACTTTTTTTTTGTTTTTAGCTGAATATCCTCCTAATAAGATGCATATCCCCATGTTATCCCCATGTGTCCCGACGTTGAACCTCACTTTCAAATTAGGTTGCATTGTTGTTCATGCGAGCAGGGAGAATCCCACGTTTGTGTGAATGAGGATTTTTTGTCACATTTGCAAATTAGGTAGGAATGAGGCCAGCAGCATCCCCAGAGTCAACACGGCGCTGCTGGAGCTCGCTGGATGCTGGTTGCCGTGCGTGAGGGACATAATGCAGCATAATCAGCTAAACACAGGAGAGCAAAGGACAGCCTGGCGGCCAGGCGACTCACCGATGGGTTCTCCCATTGCAGCCTTATGGACAAGCAGATCTGAATATATCAGAGTAAGTGTGTAAGTATAACTGGAAGGCACTTTTCTGATGAGCCAAATCAAAAATGAATCACACATTGACCTTCCGCCTTAAGCCATCTATTTTATTCACTGTGTCCGATCCCAGAGGAAGTCCAGATGAGATGTCAGTCACGCGGCAAAGAGTGGAGGAATACAAATCAAAGACCTGTGTGTTCATGGATGCTTTCTGAACACTGTACCATGATGATGATTATTTTCCTCAGCCGTCCACAACAAAGAGAGAGAGGCCGACGGGGCTTAAGTAATTTCCCTCATCAAAAATAGAGAATCAATAAAACGTACAGTTTTACAAAAACCAAAGGAAATGAAGTAATAATCAGAACAAGGCAGTAAAAGGAGCCGTCATTTGTTTCTTCACATTTAACTTCCCAGCTCCTGGCAGATTTGTACCAGAACATGAAAAACAATAGATTTTTTTTTTCAAATAGATTTTTAACTATCAGATTCTTATTTTTTTTCTTTGTTTTCTTTTCTTTAGGGGCACTGCAGGCGAAAGCAGCAAACAAAAAAAAACCAACAAACAATTCCATCTGTATTGATTGAGTGTGAAGACCAAAAAAGCAAGCCATGCCGAACACAATTATTCAATCTGCACACCATGCACCACAGCTAGCTGGTGTAGGATCCAGGCAGTGTTAAGAATTCATAAATTGGGCTCAGGAGACCTCCATAGCTCCATCTTCTGTGTCTTTTTCAGGCACAGAGAATCCGACAATAAATCACACGGAGAAGAATGAGGAAAGTGGGCTGTTTGTAGACTCAGGTTCCGGTTTTGCATACCTCCAAAACAGGCCTCTCCTGTGACCTCAGGAAATGGTGATATTAAACACATGACATCAGAGAAGGCATCAATGAAATCTCCCCCGCCATAAAAACAGGAGGGGTTCTATTGACGGACACGTGCAGCCCTCAATATAACCGATATGTGCCTGATTTTAATGATTCACCGTAACTGCTCACAGGGGAGAGCGTTAAATTTGCAAGTATCCCACGTATGTGTTACCGTCAATATCCCTCACCGCCTCATTTAAAATGAAGGTCATCATTAGAGCTGGATGAAGCTTAAGCCTGGTTGGAATTGATGGTAACCAGGCAGCTGTGGTAATGAGAGACTCCTGCTCCAGTTCACTATTGATTCATATCTTTTATCAAATCTGGGCGATTCACTGCACCAATGGTTCTCACTTTGTGATTCCCATCCTAAAAAGCTCTGTGGGACAAATTGGGCAGCTTTTTTTTTTTTTTTGTCCTCCAGGTTATTACCAGACATTGCAGTACAAGCCTTTAAGAAATAAAAGACCTGCCGTTTTTACCCTCCACTGCTGCAAGGCTGCCCTGCTGTCTTGTTCTCTCTATACTCCCCATCACGCATAAGGAAAATGACTGTACAGCGGGGTCCTGTATGAAATAGCTTTTCGTCAGCATGTCCGGGAAAATCACAGTGACTGCTTTTTAAAACATGCAACATCTGCAAAAAAAAAAAACGTGTGGAAGGGATGGGGGAGACGTTATTCAATGAGTGTGAAAACGGGCAGGGAATAAATAGTGTGTCACAGGTGGGGAATTTAATATCAGCATAACGTCAGCACCTGGTGCACTAACGCTGTGATGTCGATTAGATTACACTGTCACACTGTCAGTACCGAGGGTGAAATTCAAAGCAGCACGACTTTTACCTTTTACTTTCTGATCTTCAGGCATCAGCGGTGATGAGAGCGTTACACATTCTGGCCATGAGTGTCAATAAGACACACAGCAGGCACTTTGATACACATCACTGTTCCCTTAAGAGTATTGGTTTCCCTCAAATTATAACGCACACACATATGGTGTGATGCAGGAAAAAGAACCGTGAATTTTCTTATCTAGCGTAAGACATTATTAAAGTGTGCAAAAGGGATTTACCTCTTTTCTGTGTATATTCTGTGTACAAGACATGTTGCTTAATTTGCCACTGATGGATTGTCTATAAACCCTGCAGCCTTATGTGGCCCCTTCGAGGTAACGACAATAATGCTGCCGAGGGACAATTGAGATTCAACAAGATTTTTTTCTTCACACTCGCAGCTGAATAATCAAACGGGTCCATCAGCCACTGTACGACATCACCGTCTCTGCATTACAAAGCAATTAGACGATGGTCGTTTAATAACTAAAGTGCTCCATGTATAGTCCTTTGAATAGTCAAGTCCACAGGGGGAGCTGTATTGATTGAAGGAGGGTGACAGTTTGATGAGATTTGTTAATTAGTCTACTGGGTAGGCTTTAAAATAGTGTCACTGCCTCAAAGATAAACAGAAGAATCACACATCGCACGCCACGACCGCGGCTTATGGTGCATAAGAAAGTTGGAAACACGGGAAGGAAAAATGCAGATGTCAGAGTTTCAAAACATTCAAGGTACACTTTCAAGAATACGAATAGAATTAAGAATGAGAATAACTACACCTACTGGCGGAATTAGACTCAGGGATAAGAATGAGAATATGAATAACAAATGAAAGTAGTACTAGGAATAATAATTAGAACAGCTTTTTTGTAAAACAGCCATTGGCAGAATTTGGCTTGGCTATAATTAAACCACTAGTGGCTGTTAATTCCCCCCAAATAAGAACAGGAATAAGAATAAGAACATTTGTAAAACATCCACTTGCAGAATCAGGCTCAGGAGTGAGAGTGAGAATAAGTATGAGAATAGGCTTGTGAATACAAAATAGGAATAAGGATTAGAGTAAAAACCTATTTTGCATAAAACATTTTCTGGACAGAATTTTGTTTAGATATCATTAAGCCAAACTAATAGAATATCGATTAGGATTAGGAATAAGAAATAAGAATTATAATAACATCTGTTTCCCACTACAGGTTCATTTGCATGTCACGACTGCAGAGAACGAATTTGAGCAGCAAATGATAAAAATAAAGGATTTAGAAAAAAATTATATATATATACATATATACCTATATATATAAGGACACCAAGTTTGGTATTTTTTGTAAAAACCCCTATTATGTTCCCTTCCGTTCTAGTTTAGAAGGTCCTATAGTTGAATTACACGAAACATTTGTCACTCAGATCATAAACGACCGCTGATTTGCACACACAAAAAAACTGTAGATATTTGCCTCAGTGCTGGAAACACCTACACACAGCAGGAGGACCATCGATCATGTTAGAGAGCAGGGAGTCGGAGGGAGTTCCTTTGTCACAGTGCGGGTTCGCACTGGAGGAGACACGGCAAAATATTACGGGTGAGGGGGTGTGGGAGGTGAAGGGGTGTGGGGGGGGGGGGGAAATGACATGTGCAGCGGATGCAGATGTGGTGGTAAAAGTGTGAACGGGACGTGATGGTGGTGAACAACGAGTTCCAGCAGACTGCACCAGATTGATATTGACCCTAAAGTCTGAACGGGCGAAATGGGCTTCAACGCGAATCGATATCAATCGTAAAGGAGGCACACATGAGGGAATCCTCTGCTGCACGCGCGCGCACACACACACAGACACACACACATACACACTTCTCATTATCTCGGACAATACTGCAAACTTTAAGTCAAATATAAGAAGCGAGCAGGTGGTGAAAGAAAAACAACAGCCCGTGAACGTACCAGCTCCGTGGTCATGTTTTGTTGAGTGGTAGCGATCATGGTTATTCCGCAACAAGCGCCTCAGCCTCAGTCTTCAAAACGCTGTGAACAGCTGCGCCGTAGTGTTGCTGAGCTTTTTCTGCATGCTCTGCTCCTTCTTTAAGTTTGCCTCGCTCACCCTCCTCCTCCTCTCGCTCTCTCTCTCTCTCGCGCTTTTTCCCACCCTCTCTCTCTCTCTTCCTCTTTTGCTCTCCCTCTCTTTTTCCTTTTAATCTCTGTGTCTTTTTCCCCTCTCACCCTTCTCTCCTACATTTATCTGTCTTCTCTCCATCTGTCTCCACGTGTCTACCCTTTCTCTCTCTCTCTTATTTGTTTAGTCTCTCAATCTTTTTCTTCCTCTCTTTTTATCTCTATCTCCCCTTTACCTCTCCCTCTCTACCTCTGTGTCCCCATCTGTCCTGTCCATCTCTTTCCCCCCTCTATGTCCTTGTCTGTCCTGTCTGTCTCTCTCCCCCATCATTTTATCTCTCTCTCTCTCTCCATCCCCAATCATTTTCTCTCTCTCTCTCTCCCTCTGTGTCTCGGTCTCTCTCTCTTGTCTTTTGAACCCCAAAGTCGACCTCTCCCTCTTCCCCTTTCATCTCACTCCCTCTGTGTCTCTCCGTCTCTTTCCTTGCTTCAAAGACTCCTCCGTTCATTCGCCTAATTCCAATCTGCTTATTATGGACAATCGATTGGCTCAGAAATGAATTGTGACAGCCAGGGATGTTGGATGTAGAGATGTGCTCCATCACTTCAGCTGCTTCAGCATTCCAGCCACCACTGACGGTACAAGTGGATGTGAAATATTTAGTGAGGCCAATTTTTGGTCATTTCGAATTTTTGTATTGATTAACAATATAAAATGACTGGCCATAACTCACATATCCTCATTCAATTTAAATTCTCACCATCAACTCTTTAACCTACCCGAGCTTGGGCGCATCATGAATCAAATGTATCACTGTTGTGAATATGGTTCCAATGTATTCAATAACATGGCCCAAAAATGTCACAGTTCCAACAGGAGTCATAGTTTGCACCACTCAGATCGTAGCAGCTTGTCTATTGTGTTCCAGTTTCATAAATAGAATTTGGTAGTTCAATGATGTCATGTCACAAGGCTGCAGCTGATAAATATGACATCATGGGATGTTGTACATACTCAGGAAAGACTCAGGCGTGCAGAGAAAAAAAACACAACTTTTATTATAGATGGCAAGGCAAGAATTCTTTAATTATTTAGTAAAAAAAACAAAAACAAACCTTAAGGCAAACCTGGAGGCAATGTGTGAACATCTGCACAGGTAACTGACCCGAGCTGTGCTTCTGCTAGCTGTGTACTATCTCCAAATATAAGTAAAATGCAGCATTACTCTGTCTGCCATGTCTGCCACGAGCTAATTCTTCAACACAAAATAATCAGTTATTATCATGTGGCAAGAATATTTGATGAAACATACAGTATTTTTTTCCTGGTAAGAGAAACATTAATTAATAATTTTCCCTCTGGTGAATCGTGTCAAGCATTTTAAAAAAAGGTTGGGTAGCAATCAATGCATCTGCATCAGCAATGTCTTGCAGCCTTCTGTTATTTATGCTGTGCCTGCAACATATTTTTCTGTTTAACATAAACTCGAGAACACTCCAAAATGTGTTAAAAAATTGTAATAACGTTGCAGGACGTTGCTTAAAGTGCATCATGTTTTTTTTTCATATAATATAGAACTCAATGTGGTATGGAATATATGGATTAAAAAAAGTCGGAGACAGATAGACGGATGGATGGCATATAGACAGACAGATAATACATGAAATAACAGAGAAGCCTGTGTTTTTCTTGCCCTGAAGACAGTGTCCATGATTAATAGTTTCATGTCGAGCTGGAACTAATCTGCATTTCCTTCCAGACCTTCCTTACAGGGGTATTGTTGTAATTATATGACCTACATGTACTGGTAGTCATTTAACCTCAAGGAAATATAAGCAGAAGGCAGCCCCATTCATGGGCCTGTCCTTCCACATTCATTCATTATTATTGAATTTATCTTAAGGATGTTTATCGGATTTTATTTTAACTCTATTTGTTCGTATTTGTTTTGAATAACCCCATTGACGTTTGTGTTTTGTTTAAAACGGGTTCATTACCTGATATATTTTCAACGCCTTTATTTTTATTTTCGGCGCTTTATTATGTTTGGCAAATTAGCGACCGTTACTCGTTTTTATTTTGAAGAACCGAAGTCGGAAGTTGCTTTTCACAAAGTGAGGCTCCTAAAGGAAGCTCGTCATTCATTGGTCAACGGTAGCATTTTGAATTACAAGGCGCTCTTTGAAGCGGTGCCTGTGGAAAAAATGAGTTGCAACAAGTTGGTGGTTTGAAAAAGAAAATTGTAAGACAACAACTGAGACCAAACACAAGTCGTTAGAGGCTCCACACGCGAACATTTCACCAGCAGTGACGGTACGTAGAGATGGTGTATATACCTGTAAATGTTTGCTTACTTTTATGAGAGAGAGAAGCAAGTGTGATGTAGCAGCTAACGGTTGAGCTAACGTAACCGTTGCACTGTTTTCCAACGGCACCGATGAACAACAACGCGACGAGTGGAGTTTTATTCACTGCAGAAAGGATTGTGTCAACAAATTGGTCAAATATCTTTTTATAGTGGGTTTTTTGTGTGTTTTTTTGTATATTCTCGTACCTCGACCGTTTAAGAAGGTAATGTGAGTTTTTAAATAATGTACATACGATTATAGCCTATCAGCAGAACACGGCTCCGGTATTATGATAAATGAATACAAATAGATCTGGGTTCCGTATTATGCTGTGTCAAATGGGGTTAAAAGGATACTGTGTATTTTATTTTACTTTATTCTAATAATTTCCCATGTATTTGCAGTGACCTTTATTTTAATAATTTCCCATGTATTTGCAGTGACTGGGGAAAAAAATCTGGGCAAACGTCAAGGTGTAGTCACTAATGGCATCATTCATACTGGTATAAAATAGTAAATTAAACGACAACCCGAGACCCTTCTTTGCCATGAAAGAGACACAATGACAAGGACATGTTTTACGTGATAAATGTATTAAAGCTTTTTTAGGTTTGGAGATGTTTGAGCAAAACCAGAATGATCTCCATCGTTAAATACACATCCGGCTCCAGACACTGCTGGAACAGCTCAGCTGTTTTTCACAAAATCTTTTTCAGCTCTGCTGTGGGGAAAAACCCAAACTTATTTTTTTAGTTCATGTAACATCCGTGAACCACAATTCTCCTTTATGGGACACAGTTATCTGCACATAATTTATTTTGCCCGTTGTACTATTCAGTTCAGCACAATAACTTTGAGTAAATGTAAGCTGGTATACATAACGTTGACTTTTCGAAATGTTCTTCTCCTTTTTAATGTGAATTTTGGGGTTTATGTTGGATGGTGCATTGGTAACTAGTACATTTCTTTCTCACTGAATTCATAAAATGCTCATTTCCTCTTTTAAAGTGAAGCTTTAACTGAATTAATGACATTTTGAATATTGATATCTTAATTGAAAGTTCTATTTTTAAATATTGTTTAAATACTGCAGTGAAAACCTAAGTACACAGTGTATAGAATGGAGTTTTAAAGTGTACATTTGGTTATTACTTTGTCTGTGTACACCATGTCACTATTCCCTTCCTTTGAAGCCAAAACTTGTTCTCACTGGTCTTTTGGAAACTGCTGTTTCATTTTTGCTTTACAGCAACTTTCTAGAATATTTCCTTGACATAATTTCTCTGCATTGTGAATCATAGTCTTTGGTATTATTGTATCATTACTCTGTTTGAAATATCAAGGCCTTTATGCCTTTTGCAAGATATTGCAGTTTTAATATTTTTGTTGTTGTGTCTTTTGTACCATTGTGAATTATTCCAAGTATTAGTGGCTCCATAGTGTAGCGGTTAGTACTCCTGCCTTGCAGGAACCGCCACCCTTGATGGCGCCTTCTGTGTGGCAACCACATACTTAATAGCACCTCCTGTGACTCGTACTGTTAATTTCCCCATTGTTGGACAAATAAGAGACTCAGTTATTACTTAAGAGTTTTCATCTGTGTCTTTGTGTGATCTTAAAGAGATCAGGGTCCACAGAGAGGGAGTGCTGCTGGACTAAATGCTATCGTAGATGTTAAAGAGTGTTTATTGTGACTGTAATTCAATGGTTACCTTCACTAATTACTGTGTCACCCATCTGTGCAGCTGCACCATGGCTAATGTCTAAGGGTCCAAATGAATTAACACCACAAAAACAACCTAGTACTGTAAAGATAACTGAATGATTCATTGTTATGTGTGACATACATTAATCTTGTAGAACTTCTTGTTTTTTCCAGGATTTGAACTCATTGATCAACATGGAGTCTGCTGCGCTGAGCCTTCAGGGCTTATACGACAAGATGAGGATGCAGGTTGAAGTCCTCAATGAAAACATTGAACCCAGTGAGTGTTTTTTTTGTTGTTGTTTATGAAAATATATTGATTTATATGTGAGTCAACATCTGTACATACTGTATATTCACACTATGTGAATATCTGTGCCAAAAAAAAACCAACTCACGTGTGTGTCTGTGATCCCAGGCTTCATCCAGATGGCCCAGAATTTTGAAAACTGCCGTCGTAAGTGGCTGAGGGTGGAGCACGAACTGGGGTCTTGTAAAGAGAATCTCACAAAAACCGAGACTGAGAGGGGATCCCTGGAGGTAAAACTCAAACATGCACGTAATCAAGTGGACGTGGAGATCAGACGAAGACAGAAGGCGGAGGCTGAATGCGAGAAGTTGGTACGCAGCATCAAATGTATCGATAATCTACTGGATTGTATCAGTTTTTCTCGTTAACAATTAATATGCAAACATACTGTACATGCTGTTGGGTCATTTTATTTCGCTTTTATTTCTTATCTAGCAATTACAAATGTAGATCCCTCTGTTCTGATTTTGGAAAGACGTGTAACAGCATTGTGTGTTAACTATACTGACCTGTTGCACATTTAGATTGACTTAATGTTTGTGATACATATTTTAAATATGCACAACAGGATCGTCAACTTCAGTTGATTCGCGACCTTCTGATCAGTGAGGGTTCCAGCAACAGCATCCAACTCAGTGCAGAGCAGCGTTCAGCCCTGGCCTTCCTGAACACCAACTGTCACACTCCAGTCAACTTGAATTCCAGCCGGAGGTAAGAAATAACCAACCTGTAGTCTTTACTATTGGTCACTGTAGGTCAGGATTAAATGCATTTCACTGAAATGCTAATTATCTATTGTTTAAATACATAAACACACTGTATTTAGGAAGACGCATCACCTCGTACACTCAGCCGTTTGGTAAACGTTGGAAACATTTTGTTTTGACAGACTGTCTAAAATTGAGGAGTCTGCTTCCATTCTGTCAGATATTAGCTACGACAAAACAGATGACTCTCTTGTAAGTACTCCTCTTTTATTTTCACTTGGCATTACACTTATTGTGTATACAAATAACCTTCAATTCTACTGCAGGACTGGGACTCATCAAACATGAGGACAGTGCGACTGAAGAAACGGGAAAAAAGGGTACGATAAAGACATTTGGACATTAGCCTGAGAATTAATGTCTTTGTTCTTTGTCCATATCAATGTCTGGTGTTTGTTTTGATGCAGCGCTCCTCAAGGCATCATACAGACGGTCCACCGATTGGTTCCAAAAGATCCCGGTCAACAGGCAAAACCTTAGATCGGGTATTGTAAAAGTCTACATGTTGTCATTTTAATTTCTTATAACACACAGAACACATTTTGATTTCTGTGTTGATATTGATTTTTCCTGTTACAGGGAAATGAGACTCTTGTAACAACCACCACAGTGACTGTCCCAACAAACGGAGCACCAATCGAAGCAGTTTCCACCATTGAAGCTGTTCCATACTGGACTCGCAGCAGGAGGAGGACTGGTGAGTCCAACCGTTCTAAGACAAAGGCAGTTGAAAGTTCCTTTCAAATGTTCTTACAGTTTAGTCTTAGTTCTTTAGTCATTAGAATATGTGATGCTTGCTTTGATGTCATATTTGTCCTTTTTGTTGATTTGATAAATCCCAACCACACAAAACATGACAATACATTTGAACATGACTAGAAGATATAATAAATTCAGACACTTTTTAAAAGTTGGGCCTAGGTCTGAAAAGGTAACATCAAAGTAACATCTGTTTTCATTATCTATCTATATAGTTATGACTAGTATACAGTGATATAACCTGTATACTCAGCTCACCATATGATATGGTTTACTTGTTTTGTTCACAACACAATTTTATCATATTTTTTTTAAACAAAATGATCTCCAGACAAATTATGACCAAAAAACAATTTTCCTTTAATTGTAAAAACTATGTGAAATACCATTACCAACTGAAACTTCAATTTTCCTTTAATTGTAAAACCTGTGAAATACCATTACCAACTGAAACTTGTATAGAAACACTGTAAAACACTGTAATAGAAAAAAAAAATTGCCTTTTTAAGACAGGTATTTAATTCTCTCCTCTTCAGCTGCCATGGAGTGGGACTCTGAATCTGTCAGGTCTGAGGATGTCTTCAAGCAGCCGAGCCTCCCTGAGGTAGACAGAAAAGCCCAGCCAAGCACTCCCCAGCACAACGGAGTCCGTCTGCACGAGTTTGTCTCCAAAACTGTAAGAATTTAAGTTGTTTGAAAGGGTTTGTTCAGTGAATGAGACGAGACAATAAATTTAGTCTGAAGTGACAGTCTATAAGATTAACATGTCTAATTTGTTTATCAGACATTTTTAGATCATTAAGTTATCTGTCAGAATAATTCCTCTGAAAACCAGTGTTGAAATATATTTGCAACGGTTATTTGTTCCTAATTATGTGGTGCATTAATGCGTTTTCATCTGAGTGTAATTTGTTTGTTTATAGCAGCTGGTTGCTAATCGTCATCATTCTACTTCCTGTCACAGGTCATTAAGCCTGAATCATGCGTTCCCTGCGGCAAGAGGATCAAATTCGGGAAGATTTCACTGAAATGCCGTGACTGCAGGGTGGTCTCACACCCCGAGTGTCGTGAGCGCTGCCCTCTACCGTGCATCCCTAATGTGGGTGCCACACCAGTCAAAATTGGGGAGGTATGTGAGGATAATTTAAATCTTGTTTTAAACTGCAAAAAGTCTCTGTTTCTCTTCTGCTAACAGTTCATTCTGTCTCTCTTTCATCACCAGGGCGTGCTGGCAGACTACGTTTCTGACATGTCACCCATGATTCCACCTCTCGTGGTCCACTGTATCAACGAGATAGAGCAAAGAGGTCTGCACGAGGTGAGTCGAGTCCTGTAGATGCCTGGTATAGTCATGCTGGTTTCCTGGTATTCACTGGTCGACCAGCTGAAAAACAGGACACTATGATCAAGTTCTTAGCCATGGTTGGATCTGTTAAAATGAATCTCATGGTAAACACTAGAGGGAGCCCAGGTACCACCAGTGGGACATGTACCATAGCTTGAGAACCACTTATCTAGCTTATGTAATTAGAATGCGGGTTGCTGTATGTAACACTTTGACTAGATTAACTTACTGTACTGGCCTGCAGTGCATCAGTAATGTACAGTATTATATGACCATTGAAGAAGTGTCCTATAAACTCACCTTAATATGATCCTGGATTATCCTCGACTGAATGTAAAAATGTTCCCAAAAATAGTTGAACAAGTAATAGGTTATTTTAACATTCACCATTCTGTCACTTCCCCTCAGGCTGGACTGTACCGTCTGTCTGGAGCAGATCGCACTGTGAAGGAGCTGAAGGAGAAATTTCTCCGCAGCAAAACGGTTCCTGTGCTGAGTAAAGTGGACGACATCCACGCCATCACCGGCCTCCTGAAGGACTTCCTGAGGAACCTGAAGGAACCTTTGCTGACCTTTCGCCTCAACCATGCCTTCATGGATGCAGCGGGTGCGTGTCTTTGTGTGTACGTGTGTGATTGCTATTAGTAAAGAGGAGTGTTCATAGACGTAAACAGATATTTTACAGGTACATTTTAAATTATTATTATAGCTTTGTTTAACCTGCCGTCCACCACAACAAGCCAACCGGAATCAAATGTGTTTTTAACACTTTTGAAGCCTGAGGTGACAAACTGTCTAGAGCTACAGCAGTGATGGGTTTTTTATTTTTTTCTGCAGTCTTTGTTTGTGTGTGTGTAACGGGGGAGAACTGCAGAGTGGTTTTCATTTAACATTGTTTAGAGAAACCTACAGCCTCAACATTGGCTAACCTCTACTGACTAAAACGATTTCCCTCGTTCCGCTTCAGAAGTTGCAGATGACGACAACAGCGTTGCACTGATGTACCAAACCATTAGTGACCTGCCACAGCCTCACAGGGACACCCTGGCTTTCTTAGTCCTTCACCTTCAGAGGTAAGAATAGTATTACTGTGAACAGTGTGGTACTTTGGGAAGAGAGTGAGCTCTGTTCAAAGTGAAATGCATTTATGCATGTTTCTAGTCATAGTGTCTCCCTAACACGATTTTTGGTCCCTTTTTTTGTGTAGTACCTGATTAAAAATGTCTCAAATTGATTGAATTCTAGTAATTAATGAAACTTGATGAATTACATTTTTATTAAATAGAAACAATCACATTTTTCAATTACCTTGAATTTTAGTTAATTAAAAAAAACAATAGACATACAGGTGAACTTAAACAACAAACATTTAGCTTTAAGTGCAGTAATTTAAAAACCATTTGAACTATTCTTAGTAGCTGTCAAACAGACTATAGGTGCTGTACTGCCCCCTACAGGGTTGATGTGTATGTATCAGTGTTTCTGGCTTTGTCTGTAATTATTCAAAATAAACAGAACCTTATTTATTTCAATTTTCTTTATAAACGCTTAAGCACAGAAAATTAAATTCATTCTCTTTTACACGTGGCATGATGTAACAGAGTGGCTGACAGTCTGGACACCAAGATGGACATCACCAACCTGGCCCGAGTATTTGGTCCTACCATTGTGGGTCATGCAATTCCCAACCCAGATCCTATGACAATCCTACAGGACACCAAGCGACAGCCCAAGGTAAGTCTGGGTATTTTTGTCAGTCACAGTGTGACGTGGTAACGCTTGAGGGCGAACACTCATTGTTACCCGAGTGCTTAATAAACTTATATCCGGCACACGAGTGACTCATCACCAGGGGTATTTATAGACTCAAACTGTACACTGAAGGTGAACTTTTCCTCCAGATGAATCTTAAAGAAGAACTATGTTCTCAGTATTGTCGGCCAGAGAGTTTTTATGCCAAAAGTACAACAGGATGTTTTTATAAATATTATCCTTAAATTTTCTCCAAAGATTTTTCTACAAAATATATGTTACATTTATGGTTGGACCACAGGGATCGGCTTCTAAATGTAAGAAGTACAGGATACAGAGTATCTGAGTCTGCGATAAACAGGCTGACTGGATCTCAACTTATGTTAGAATAATGTTGAGTTCTCTAACACAATTTTTTTTAGATGTATTATGTATAACAGTTTCTCTCTGGGACTCTGAGAAATGAATCCTGCCAAATGTTGGAATGAGTTTTAATATTTTACAGATTTTTTTTTTATTGCAGTACGAAAAACTGATCAGTATTTATAGTAATTCCTTCCCTTTATACAGTATTGTATATATTTCTACAACATTGTAAGTTTTTGCAACCATTATTTTCAGCTTTAACATTTTCAACTTCTGATAAAAAAATATATATATTTGAATCCCACTCTGTGCAGGTGGTGGAGCGTCTGCTCTCTCTGCCCATGGATTACTGGAGCCACTTTGTGAGGGTGGAAAACCTGCAGCCAACAACAGACCAACTGATTATTGAGAATGCAAACTGCTATTCCACCCCTGAGAGAGGTACTGTGTGCATGTGTACGTGCGTAAGCTTAGCTCAGACGAGTGTTCACACACAGTTATTTGGTGGCTGACATCTCTTTCTAATTTTTGCAGCCAACATGCTGGGACCTCTGACCACACCAGAGCACCAGCTCAATAAAACGCCCTCCTCAAGCTCTTTGTCTCAGCGCATGAAGTCCACTCTGACTCCCAGGTACAATCACACCGAGAAAAACACACAAACAAACACAATGTTTGATCCTGTCCAATGATCCCACTGTTGTTATAATCGAATGATTAAATGACATTTGAAGTGACTGTTTTGTACTGCAGATTCAAAAGATCAGATTTTTAATTAGAAAGATATTAACATGCTCTTTTTGTTGCAGATTTGGGAGCAAGAGCAAGTCGGCAGTCGGATTCAATGCCCAGAGGAAATTCTTTTCTTCTCCAAGTCTCAAATAATCAAACCCACACTTATTAACCTTCATTGATGCAGCAGAAAGATTTAACCCAGAACAGCGTACTGCTGTGCTACTGGCTATTAATGACCACATAGTAACCGTCTTTCTTAATACGTGTAACCATTTTTAAAAAATATTTCACAATCTTAAGTTTTTAACAATATTTTACATGTTTGTTGTGAAGACTTAAAAAAAAAAAACAGTTAGTTTCTTAAACCTTTTGCACAGTTGTGTCTTTAGAACTCTGTGAGCCCCAGTGTCTAACTGGGTTCTAATATCCTGTCTTTAACACAGTGGACTGTGTACTTAGATATATTCTGCGATGAAAAAGTGTGTTGTGCTTTTGTTGTGATGCGTTTCTAAATTTCACCATTTCTTCAGAGTTTCTCGGCTCATGTGTCACTCAGAGGTTGAAGAACTCGTTTGTAGGCATTTCAAATGAAGTTGTACCCAATTGTGGCTGCTCTTAGCATTTTCTTTTTTTTTTACTACAGCTTCAAACTAGTTAAAACATTGTTGGGAAGATTATCTGTGTGAGAGCGTGTTATCGACTGATTCGTGTCAAAATTTTAGTTACTGCCATTTTTAGTGTCCTGCACTCCCAGTGTTCAGGGTCATTGATCATTGGTTTTACATGACGCCCTAAAACCATCAGTTTATTTTTCTTATGTACAGCTCCGATGAATTTGTTTGTATCACGAGAGGTTATGCAAGAGGAGCTCTGTGTAAAATGCATTTACTTTGTAACACTTCATGCCAGTTCACTTAAAGTGGCATTATTTGTCATTGTGTGACATTCATGATACATATAAAATATGACATTTAGCAGATCTTCTGTCTTTATTTATTATTTTGTTTGAATAGTTTTGTATACCTCTGTTCTAAGCCTAAGGACTGCGTTCCAGATAGTCACCACATACATCAATAACAATTATTTTAAAAGAAAAAACAAGCCTTACTTAAAAAAAAGGGTAGATTGCATTAACCAACTGGAACGGTGAGTGGTAGAGGTCAGTGGTAGGTCACCTACCTGCTGCCTAGCGACTGTAAAACTAATGGTCAGTGCTTTCCTCTTCGAAAGGCTTTTAATGTCCTTCAAACCACCTCATAACTGCAGAACATGTTCACACCTTGACCTATAAATGTTCCACACAATTTTCAAAGCACTAACAGATGTCTTTATTGTAGAAACGGCCGATTATATTAGTGTTAAAAAGGGAAGGGTCTGATGAAAAAAGGACCTCAGATACAGAACAGTGTTAAAATATTCAGGGCAGGGATAACTCAATGAAGGAAAAGAATACTTGCACTGATGTACTAAGATTGACCCCTCAACCCCCAGCCCACACCCTAGTAACAATACACAAGCAGACTTGGTATTTGTTTATATTTTAATGCTATTTTATTTTTGTAATACTTTATGGGTATTTGTGACTACAGTGGTACGGCTCCCTATGTTTAAAGTCATTTAAACCACATTTCAAAGGCTGTTAAACAGGTGTTCCTGATGCACTGGCCTGTGAGTGATTACATATTTAAAAGTTTATTTAAGTGGGTAAATTAAAAGGAATGAATGCAGTTCACGTTAACATTTAGACCAGGGCCAGAGAACAGGAGTGTTCTTGATGTAGTCCTGGAAAGCTGGATCAGACCCCCACTTCCTCATGGCCTGCTTCTCCAGAATGGGGATGCCGCTGATGTAACAAAGCAGAAACCAGACAAAGAGAGGCGATGCTACACTCAGGTACTGGTGACCCTGCATCACTGAAGAGGCCGAGAGCCAGAGGCCCGACCACTGCAGAATCTCCCCTAAGTAGTTAGGATGGCGGCTGTAGGCCCAGAGCCCACTCCGGATGAACTTCCCCTGGGGGAACAGTGAAAATGATCAGTGGATGAGGCATGTGTGTAGTTCTGGGATTTCACATCACCAGGTCTTAACTTACAGCATTATCAGGGTCTTTCTTAAAGAGCAATTTCTGCTGGTCAGCAACGGCTTCAGTAACAAAGCCAAGGCCCCATACGGTCCAGCCAATATAGTCTCTGGTTCCCAGAGGTGTGTTTCTCTGCTCAGTGTTCAGCATCAGGGTGGGCAGGAGGGTCATAAACACCCACAGAGCTGAGAGAAACAGGAACAAATGAATCATCTTCAACAAGCCTTGTTTAAATGTTAACCTCGCTAAATACATAACTTTCTGTCCTATCAACTCTACCTGTGTGTGTGTGACCAGCTGGAAACTAGACACTGATTAATAAAAAAGGAAAGCCCTGCCTTTAGCTCAGTGCTGTTTGTCAAGGACCATGCTAACGTTCATCATTTCCATGTACCTTGAATGGTCCAATATACGAAGAAAGACCCTGGACTGTCTCTGACTTTGTTGAACCTGCGGTCCTGACCGTCCCTCAAGATCCGCATGAAGAGGAATGTCCCCAGCCTGGAAACAAAACTTGGTTTATTATGCGCTTATATTAACCAAACCATTATTCATTAACCTGTCTTTAGAGTCCCTCATTAATCAATCGCTCTCCTGACCTTGTCCAGGACCTAACACGACTATACTCGCATAAGAATCTGGAGAGTTTCATTAAAAAATTAAAAAACAAAAATAAATATTTGCCTTTCTCTGCTTGATTTAAAAACCCACCTGATGTGTCACTAAAATCTTTAACATTAAATATATGGGATGTTTTGCCTTACCTGAGTCCCCATGCTGTCACTAAACCAGTTTGCACCTTCTGGCGGATGTGTGTAGCTCCTCCCCAGATACGACTCAGGTGGGCGAGCAATACAAAAGTCCCAGATCCTGCAAAAAAAAAAAAAAAAAGGAAATGCAGTGCAGAGGCAGGCCAGCTGGGATGTAGCCATGGCCGACACCTCCATGTGTAGAGGCGTGTTCTATAAATCTTTACCCAGGATACCACAGACGATTGGTTCCAAAGTTCAAGGGTAAGAATAAGCAGGAGCAGAGAGCTGGAGTGGAGAGTCAGACGTGGACGAATCAAAGAAAAGTGTCAAGGTGATTAACTTTTTGAATTTTAAAAGATTTTAATCATAAGTGCAGAGAGGCGAGCTGTGCTATTTTGCTTGTTTGATGAACAACTACATTAAAGACAAATGGCACCTCCTCCTGACTGATGGAATTCATTTGAAATCAGTAGCTTCCTCATTGATTGACCTGGTGGAAATTCAAACTTGAAATGAAGCGACAGGCACAACTAATGATTTTTAATCATTCATTTTCTCTTTCTGATGTTAATAAAATAAATGTCTTTAGTATAACAACCAACGTCATATCGTAAAAGCAGGAACTAGCTGATGGATGCTACCCAATAAAAACCACATGACAGGAGATAAAATACTTCAAAAGAAAGAATGAAAAAATGAATAGAAACTGTTTATTGCTGAACCTTTTGATTTTGTTCGGTATGATATCCTCCACTATCAACAAATACTGACTTCCTACAACACCACAGGTAGTTCCAGGAACATCGGGACCTATTGATCTAATTTTTGCATGAAACAAATCAATTTTCTGTGTGAAAAAATAATCAACATGATGTAGAAAATATGGATTTTCATATTTTCACCTATGTTCCAAGATTGTTTTTTAGAGAAAGCATGACAAGGCCACAAAACTAATGTAATCTATCCTGTTTTGTAAATTTTTTTTACAACCAAAAATCGGGCTGTTTTCGTTTCAGCTAGCTCATATGTAATATTTCCAAAGTGAAACAACCAGCAGTTGCTGAGTACAATATATGCGAGTTCTCAATGATTGGTTAACAACAGGAGATAGAAACACTACATTTACCTAATTAGTTTTCAGATTTAACAAAATCCCGATTTGCCTATTTTGGAAAAGGCCCCCCACAAAAAAGCCCGCTTTTTCGTTGAAAGTGTAGTTCATAGGACGTCTGTATACGGTCCTGCTCATAGACTCTGCCAGGCTGCATTGATAGAGTGGGAGGAGTCGTTCGGCTGTTTTACAACAGTGTTTTATAACCATGATCACAACACTGCTGCTTTAACGGTTTTTAAGCATATTTTAAAACTCTAAATTTGCATACTAATTCACTTAAGCGCATTGCGATCGTTCTGAAAATTTCTAATATAGTAACTTTCTCACCATTTGTTTATACTAAGCATCGAGCTAAGCTGCAAAAAAAAAACATTCAGCACACGGCACACAAATCAGGTATCTGCCTTGAATTATTACCTGCTAAATCATAAAACTTCTCGGTTCTGAAAGCTGCAGCCAGAGCCCAGCCGGTCCACTGGATCCCGAGGTCAACGGCCGCACATTTGACCAAAACGCCGCCCATGATTAGCAACTGCTCGGTCACAAGAGTCTACAGCTCTGATACAAAACTCCTCCTTATACACTGTAAGAAGTTAGAAAAAGATAATCTGACTAAAGTTCACAACTGCCATGCTGCTACAGGCAGTAGCTTTGTTTAGAGCAAAGAACTCTGGGAAATGAAGTAGTAAGGAGATGAGACTGAAAATACAACGTAAATTAAAAAAAATAATCGTCAAAAACTTAACATATTTAGCTGAAATTCGGTCGATAAAAGATGTGGGCAAGTTTCACGTTTTACAGAAATGTCATTCGTGCAAACTAACAACTGTTTTGTGTTAATTATGTCAATTTCTAATTTTCGACAAAAGTCAACTGCCTTTTTTTCTAAGACGAAAATTAAAAGGAAAATTAACAGGAAGTTACGTTTGGAAGTTACGCAGAAGCGGGAATAATATGATCAAATGGTGACGTAGTGACCCAATATGTCTGACGGGACAGAAAAAAAATCCTATTTTACTTTTAACGTTTATAAAAACAACACATAGTGTATTTTAATTGTACTTTAAACGTTTATAAAAACAACACATAGTGTAAAGCTTGTGGAAGGACAATGAGAGAAGAAAATTAGTTGTAGGTATGGAGACATGTAAACCTGAGAGTCGCACGTAAGTAAGTAGAGCAAAGTATTACTATATGAGCTAATCTGGCTAAGCTAAGAAGTAAAAGATAGTTGTGGTCTCTTGTCACCATTTTCATTTTTTTAGGATACAATGCAAAATTACATTTTGTGAACATAAAAAAATCTTAATTTGCTTTTTATATTTAATTGCATTTTAATAAAGTTTGGACTTTTGCACTATAATTTTTAACCCTCCATTGGTGATGCTAAAGTCAGCTAATCTAGTCCTGAGAACCAGCCAATCAAGATTCTCCATAGCTTGCACTGACCAATTAATAGGCACACTTGTCCCTTACACTCCCCTCCCCCTCTG